AGGGCTGAATCTGAATGTCAGGGTAAGAAATTGTGTAATAAGAGAAGAGTGTGGTTTGCAAGATGATCTGACCAGGATTAAGGAAGGAATGCTTCGGTGGTTTGGTCATGTGGAAAGAATGAATGAGGAAAGAGTGACAAAGAAAATTTATGTTGCAGAAGTGAATGGCAGAGTCGGAAAGATATGTCTAGGTGAAAATTTATCGACCAAATTGGCGATTTATTGAAAACGGGCCAAATTTGGAGTACCCTTAACCGACGAGCATGTATGCATAGGTGTATGGATGTGAAGGAGGCGAGAGGTGTGTCAGGATCGTGCCAAATGGAAGTCTGTAGTCTCTGCCTACCCCTCTGGGTGACAGGCGTGAGTGTTTATGTATGTATGTATAATGCATGACTCATTCTCTTTTTTAACATATTATAAAATATTTGTTCACTAGTAACATTCTGCTTACAGCTTTTTTTGTATGAAGCAGTAGCAATTTTATGTTTTCCAATATGTAACAAATTATTAACCACACTAGTTTTATATTTATTTTAACTTTGTAGTGTTAAAACAAAAAGTAACAAAATTTTTAGGATACTAAATATACTTAATCTAATCATGTGTGAGTGACACAAATATATAAATTATAAAGATCAATTAAACTACTTTGTAGTAAATAATGTTAAAACTTGTTAAAAATATTTACAAAATAATGTATGCATAATCTGTCACTACGAGTACATGCATGATATTTCGATGTCAATATGCAAAAACAATCTTATTGCTTATTGTGATGTGATTGTATAGCATTTTCAACTTTAAAAACTACATTAATTATAAGCTTTGTTCAAGCAGTGCTTCTGATTGCACTTGCTCTACTAAAGATAACGGTAATTTATCCGATTGTCAAAAGCTGCACAAAAAATAAGGCAAAGCTTGTATAGGTTATGTCGGCCGACTATGGTCATTATTAAACAAAACTATTGTTTTTACACGTAACTACCATAGAATAGTAAATATAAATAAACATTCATACAGAATTGATTAATATACACGTAATAGTGATTAATATAACTGAAATTAAATAAAACAAAATCAACATTAGGTCAGTGACAAAACGCGCGCACTCAAACCTAACCTTGATAACGAAAAGGCAGATACAAGTTTCTAGTTCAAGGCCCCATGAAAAAACTGAAAAGTCACATGAAGGCGTTATACAAACAAATCTGAAATATCATTGAAACCCGCACAGAAATCTATTTTAAGACAAACAACAGACGAAAAAAGCACTAACCTTATACAACCTCAAGTGACGGCTATATCCATGTAATTCGTATTTATGCTTTTCAAGTATATATCACAATCACTCCACTGGAATAACATACAATAATTATATTATAACACTTTCAGGCACAGTTCAGTCCAAATTTTCAATACTTTCTTCGTATAAAATTAAATTATCACTACATGAAACATCACATGCTACAAACTTCACGCACGACAGTAAAAATTCGAATCTCATTGTTGCCATTGTAATCACGACAGATAAAAATATTCATAGAGGATATTTTAAGCATAGAAAAAATTATTTAGAACATTAATAGTATCATAAATCAAGCGAATAGTTAGAAACTAAGAAACTGGTTATAATAGGATATTCTTAATAACTATTTCTTTATTTGTTGTGACATTGGCTACAAGACTTTCAGTGAAAGTATACAACAGTGTCTAATATACTCTAAGCCTTACTCTGTGCTCTATAACCTATATACACAGAATAAATAATAGCTATATATTACACAACTCATACATTATATCTTTACAATATGTTTATACGTAACACTGCGATGATTTTGTGTCTCACGTTGCTACATATTTATATATCTATGGTCTCGCGTACGCCAACAATTATGTCATATTATTTACGTCGTCGGCGGGTGAGCTACAAATGGCTACAAAAGATGTTTTTTTTTTACTTTTATTAGCCAGCTCTTAACTAGGTACTTTCCACATGATTGTAAGTAGTGATGCAGCTGAAAATGATAAAACGCACTAACTTAGCTTAAAAAGTCTATTTACTTTCGCCTTAAAAATACCCCGATTACAATCGAATGGAAAGACAGATGCTGGTAAATTGTTCCATACTTACGCTACGTACTCCTATGCTACAACGAGGTCACATTAAATACCCCTATTACACTACCATGAATTAGGGTCACTATGTCCTTAATCAGGGTGGTGTAATAGGACAAAGGGAGTAAGGGTCCCTAATTAGAGCGTCAAAAGGGACCCTCTTTGCAGTGCCCTTGCCACAGTGCAGTGTAATAACACTTAGGGCAGTTAGGGCACTTATTCGATATGTGACTAGGGATGCAAACAATACATCGATTCTTTCAAACATTAATATATCGTTCATAAACATGGTTCTTCATGAGCTATGTTTTACTTTTATGAAAAATGTTTTGACTTGCCGTCAAAGGTTACGAAATAATCAACTATTCGAAGATAATAAATTTCCGTGTGTTAAAAGTTGTGAACGGTGATTATCATGAATTTGATGTCGCCTAAAAATATATCAAAGTTAGATAACTTCTAAATTTTTAAAGTTAGAAGGTATTTAGCAGAAATAATTCAATCCCGAAAGTTTTAATTACAAATCAACAAACAGCTGAATGGTATTTCAGCCGAAAATAAATATACTTGAACTTCAGGACTCCGAACTCCGAGAATCCGCATACTTGAGTGATTATTCCTAAGCTTTAAATATTCTTTCACCCATATCTTACATTTCCTCCGCTTTTCCTTATTATTGATTGTTGTAGCAATGACAGCCATAGCAATAGCGACTTTTTTGTTTTGATAACATAGGTGGCAGCGTAGATCAAGAAAAAATATATATATGTATATATATATATATATATTGGACAGGTGACTTGACGTTCAGCCGCTACAAGATTCCCTCTCAGACTGAGTATAAGTTGGCTGGCTTGGGTAAATTATATCGATATTTATTTCAGAGTATCGAGGTCGTATCAATTTCGATATATTTTAAAATTTTATATTTATTTTATAATTTAATAAGACAAAACATTAAATAAAAAAATCAATCATGTGCTGTTGTCAAACGTCTATAATTAAAATTTTAGCTTATACCCTAGTACATCGTATCGATATTTATCACGCGATATATTATATTGATACTGTTTAAAAATATCGATATATTTTTTTTCACTTGCCTGTCCCTATGACTGAGTTAGGGCGTTAAATCAGTGTAGTGTAATAACTGACCACCCTAAGGAGGGGCCACGCCCACCCTTCATTCAGGGCCCTGATTAAGGGTAGTGTAATAGGGGCATAACTTGACGCATGACTTTGATGACGTCATTTACAACAGTGTAACAGAGATGCTAACCATACTGCCGATTGCCGGGCGAGCTAAGGGAGTGCGGGGGCTAGCGGGTGGGGCCTCGCATTAAAGCGATGCGTCAAGTTAATGTGACCGCAATATACATACCTAATAAGAAAGACGAAGCAAGCCGTTTCGTTCGAATGCGTGATATGTCGACAACTAAGTGCTGGAAACCAGCCGAGCGTCTGGTGGTCTAATAATGGAATGAAGAGGGAGGAATTAATTCATGCAATTCCTGCAGTATGTATATAGTACGTGAGGGTGATATGGTCATCCGATTAATAGTAGTATAAAAATGACCATTTCTTATGACTCAACAAACACAGCCTTGTTTGAATAGATGGCTTTGTGATACGATAGCTCTCCATCAGCTAATCAAATAATAAAGGCTCAAAAGGGTGCTGCTTTATCGACACCACTTTGACAGTTGACATAATAGTAAATATTGTAGTCGATTTTAGTATGGTGTACTGTAGTTAGTTTTTTTAAGTTGATATTTTTCCTGTGTTGTGTTCCTAATATTTTCAAAGCTTGTTTGCTATTAATATATTGTAATTATATCATACGCCTTTGTGTTTTCGGCTCTGTCCTCCTCCTAGTTTTGGTTTTATAAAAGAAGGATTTAGGGTGAGCTGGCTCCTTTTCGGGGTGAATAAGACACGTTTGTGTTTTGGAGGCGTTGAATTTCACGAGATTGGTATCGCTACATTCGAAAACTGCTGCAATGAGAGATTTACACCCTCAACCATAGCTGCTCTTTCGGTCTAGATTTGATCCCGACTCCGTAGTCCGAGTACTCAGCTACCATAGATATACCGGATAGATCATTGATATAGTATAATACGAATATAATAGCATGAAGAGAGTTGCAGAGAAAACGAACCATTTTTTTATAGTATCGGGTGACAAACGAGCACACAGTTCACCTGGTGGTAAGTGGATGCTGTGGCCCATAGACATCTACATTTATCATTAATTAAGAATCAAAATGCAAATGCGTTGTCACCCCTGTGGACTAAGATGGAATGCCTCGATTTCAGTAAAAAGGGTCTCCGGTTATCTACTCACCATACGAAACACAGCAGCGTTATGCTGCTATTTTACTCTGGTATTCTGTAAGAGTCGGTTGAACCGACCCATTTAATTACATTAATAAACGTATCATTAAATGAGGTGGGGGATATGGGAATCAGAGTGAATTCAAATGAGACGAAAGTGATGGATATTAAAAGAGAAAAAAATAAAATGGTATGTGAAATACAAAAAATAAAGGGAGTTGCGTTTTTGAAAGTAGTAGGTAGTTTTCTCTTAAGCCGCGACTACTATATATACGAAACCAGCTTGCCAAGCAGACTTTGTTCTGCCCTTTCCGACGACCCTTCATCCTTTATAAAATCTTTAAATTCGCAATAAGATATTGACGGTCACTTAACGAGATTAAAACTATCCTATCTCTCAAGTATTGAAGCAATCAATACGCATTTACAAAAATTTCATTAAAATCAATTTAATGGTTTCGGAGTTCATCGTGGATAAAATGACACGTAATTTTTATATATAAAGATATCTACGAAAAAATATATACATTTTATAAAACAATTTACAGATGTCTCGAAATTCAAGCCACGAACACTTCATTACAGAAAGTGGAGATGTGTTAGAAGTAATCAGGGAGGAGCAATATTTCACGACTGTCTCATCAGTTAAAATAGATGCCACTGGCAACACCAAAATGGATGCCACTGGCAGCACCAAAATAGAGGCAATGCCAGGAGATCTCACAGCTGAATGCACCTGTGCTAAACGGAAAGTGAAGGAAGAATATATTTCTAACAAGGAAGATATCAATAAATTGCTCAAAGAAAAAGAAGATTTGTTGAAAGCGAAGTATAAGAAAGATTTAGATAATGAAATCAGAATTTTAAAGAACAGATTCGATTTTATTTTACAGTATGTTATCATTATATATTAAGTTTTGGTCTAAATTAAACTAAATTAAGCCTTACTCGACGTGACACCACACCCTGCAATTGACTCACAGAATGTCTACATAATGTATTATTACTACGTGTACGAAGAATGTACGGATAAAGAATAAACGTGTACGGATTTCAATAGATACTAAAAATTAATAAAAGTAAAAGTAGACTTCAAAGAACTAAAAAGAATAAAATAATTTATACACGTTTATATGACGGGCAACCAGGCCACGCAAAAAGTTTTGTGAAAAAATGTATTTTTTGCATGAGACACTGAGATATTTACAAGTAAAAAATACATATATCTAATTATAAATTTCTCTTCACACTACTTACGAGTTAAATAGAAAAAAATATCGTGTTTCATTGAAAAAAATTCTGCGTTAGAAACATTTTCGTGCGATGATCGATGATCACGATTTTAAATATTGCCCTAAAGCAGGACAAATCGTTTGAAATACTTCAAATAGTATTTTAATGGTAATATGTTGCGTACGTGCGTAGGTACGTGCGTGCGTACGCATGTACGCAAAACTAGTTTATAATAATTAACCAATTTAATTAAGTATAAATGGATTAAATATTATAAACTGGTTAGAAATTAACTTAGGTCCGTAGACAACCAAGCAGGTTCAAAGATGGAAGCAGACTGAAGTGGCCGAACTGCTCCACTGCAATACTCACTGAACATTAAGGCCAAGTCAACATTATTAAGAGGCAGTGCAGCACTAAGGCTAACAAATACAGGGTATAACGGTATGCGTGTGCTTGCCTGTATTTGTGATAAAGTTCCTTTTAAGGTACTCGTAACCATGCACCGCTGGTATAACAAATTTCAGCACGGTCGATTAAGAGCGGTGAAAAATGGATTGATTGCCCTTTGACGGCTATTGAATAGTACACATTAACCATTAAGAACTAATCTTTAAAAAACCCTATGATATTTTAGCCTGATCCAATTCAACTTCAAATCCAAAGTATCCAAGCGTAAGTTAAACAATATTTTTCCAATCAGTTCAACAACTAAGACAAAAAACTAAAAATTTTCCGATTATTGACGTTAAAGGCTGTTACTATCATTATTCAAAGTATGAAGAAAAGCAAACACATTGAAACTTACAAAGCCTGGATTTTTTTGAGTTAGGGTGACATACGAGCGTACAGTTTCATCATCATCGTCATCATTACAGTCGTTCACAAGTCCACTGCTGAACATAGGCCTCCCCCAAGAAATGCTACAAAGCACGGTCTGAGCCACCTGCATCCATCGACTTCCTGCATGTCTTACCAGGTCGTTACTCTATCTAGGGGGGGGGGGGTGTCGCACTAAACTTTGCCTACCGTTATGAGGCTGCCACTCGAGAACCTTTTTTTCCGTCGGCTGTCGGTTCTTCGAGCTACATGGCCGGCCCATACAACATACAGTTTACTTGACGGTAGGTAATTACTAATTACATACTGTGACCCATAGACACCTACATCTTTCCTTGATTAAAATATAAATTTATTTACTGATTTCTACCAACAAGGGTCATACAATTATTTGTAGGCCGTACGGCCTACAAGTAATTGTTCCGGGTCTGGATGTTTGTCCTAGTGCAATTTATGTTTGTAAACTGCCCCCACGATACAGGAGAAAATCCTAGTATAGGGGTAACGTTTTTAAAAACAAAAATTAATTAAGGAATGAAGAAATACGCACTTCCTACATGCTATGCGAAGCGCACAGAGAGCGGAAGGAGAAAATTAGCGCCCTCCAAACCCAACTTGAATGTAAGAATCTGGCTGGACTCATGTACGTGCTATGCTCTGAGCGGAGAAGATGCAAATATGAGAAGCTACAAATGGCTCAAGGTTATTGCAATATTTAAAAAACTTTTTTTTATAGAATAAGGGTAACAAACGAATACACAGTCCACTTGATGGTAAGTGGTTGCTGTGGCCCATAGACATCTACATCTATCCTCGATTACGAATCAAAATGCAGATGCGTTGTCACCCCTGAGTGAAAAGGGTCTCCAGCTCTCTACACTCACAATACGAAACACAGCAGCGTTAAGCTGCTATTTTATGCTGGTATTCTGTAAGAACGTGATCCTTACCTGGTCGAGCTGATCCATTCGTACTACAACTATAATACTAATATAGCCGTAGTATAGCTCTACCACGGAGACACACTTTTGACTGTCTGCTATATAGTGGAAATATACAGGGTTATTTTGCAATAGAGGCAAATTTGTAAAGAAGGTTCAGAATAAGTAATACCGATGAATGGTGACGAAAAAATTAATAAAAAAATCTCAGTATTCTGTCCTTTTTATCTTTTAAATTCAGAATGCGCGGTAATGTATTATTTTAATTGATTGACATTCATAAATATCTAACGCCTACTACTACAATGTACTATTTTACTACGAATGCACAAATTCGCTCGGTTACAAATTTACAGAAGCGCTAATACGTGACTTTGTTGCCCATAATATCCAATTTGGGATAATTTCAAAGACCTTTAAGTATGTAGGTAGTTAGTAATAGACCGGACATCAACAACAAAATTGTCGTCTGTAACTTTTGTCCTATAGGATATATCTCCGATTTTTGTCATTAAGTCTAAGTGACATCACAGAAAGGTCAAGACGCATTCGTTTCATAAATTTTTCGTTTCATAAAGAAAATATGCCCGGTTGTGCATTAAGGTATAGTAAGTCACGATATGGAGCAAAAAATGGACATGATTTCGGTTATTTATCCTAAGAATAATGTATATTTACCAAATAATCTTTAAATTTTATTATTTCGGGCAGATTGTTCTAGAAGAAAGAAAAATTATTGTAATAATTGTCCTCTGTTATCCAGTAACGTCACTATTTATTTACAAATATGTTAGTGATTGTCGACGTGCCTAAAACCAATTTTTACCTTATGTTTAGAAGCGTCACCTAATGGGAAACAGCTAAAATGTTTTCTAAATATATATTCAGCATAGTATTGCTATTTTTCGCTAGAGGGCCTAACACACGCGCGTGCTCACAGTTTTTGTATGCAAATAATAATAATAATAATAATAATAAGTGCTTAACAGCCTTTTGTCCGGTGTGAATAAGACACACGCATATAATGGTTGGGTCATGCCTGTCCTTATTTATACCTTTGGCATACTCAGGTAGACTCAGACTGAACTTAACGCCCTGGATAGAAAAGTCCGCACTACCATGACGTCCCATAGGATGCATCATCCGAGATCGTCGCTAATGAGGCTGTACTTGCCGCGAAAGCATGGTGGGCGTGGCTTTCTGAGCGCGCTCACCATGCATAATCGTGAAGTGTGCAGCCTCTGCCTTTACTTCCTGGCGAGATCGGATGATCCATTTTATAATGACGTCATTTCTAGTGATAAAGGGCTTACCCCTCTATCCTTAGCCAACGAGCAATGGCAGGACCCAGCAGTGCTTAGCATTTCCGACCGGGAGACCGTATGGAAGGAGAAGGAGCTTCACGGGAGGTACTACAGGGCTCTACATGAGCCCTTCGTAGATACAGTCGCCTCCCTCAACTGGCTACGTTTCGGTGACCTCTTCGGGGAAACCAAGGGTTTTGTCTGTGCAATACAGGATCAGGTTATTAAGACCAACAACTATCGGAGATACATCCTAAAGGATGGCGACAAGCTCGACATCTGTCGAGCTTGTCGCCATTCCGGGGAGTCACTTAGGCACGTCATCTCCGGTTGTTCGGCGCTTTCTAACTCTGAGTACTTGCACAGGCACAACCTAGTAGCCAGAATTCTACACCAGGAGCTCGCTCTGAAATACGGTCTCGTGGACCGGAAATTGCCGTATTACAAGTAATTGCCGGAAGCCGTGCTCGAAAATGACCGCGCCAGGCTCTACTGGGACCGGGCCATCATCACAGACAGGACTATTCTTGCGAATAAGCCTGATATTGTGCTCATGGACCGGGCACAGTCAAGGATATTTTTGGTCGACATTACCATTCCGTATGACGAAAATCTCGTGAAAGCCGAAACAGATAAGGGAAAAAAATATCTGGACCTGGCTCACGAGGTGACCGACATGTGGGGTGGTCGGCCGACCGAAATTATTCCTGTAGTCGTCTCTGCGAATGGTCTAATCCCAGTCAGCCTCTCGGGTCATCTGAGGCGACTGGGACTCCGTGACGGACCGCTCCGGGCTCAAATGCAGAAGGCAGTGGTCCTCGATACCGCCCGCATCGTCCGTCAGTTTCTTTCCCTTTCCCCCTAACTCTCGGCCGTTTGGTCTCCTCTACCGAGGGCTTCCATCTGGTTGGATCTTTATTTATTAGTTTATTTTTTGTATTTATTTTATTTTATTGATATTTATGTATATTTATCTTTTCATTTTAATTTATAATTATATATTTTTAGAAACCAACCAGATGAGAAAACTATACAGATACCCCAATAATAATAATATTCCACAACTATCACACTACACTACTACTATGGTACTAGACAACTGATAAACATACTTATATATTTCTAAATACGTAAATATTATAGATAAATAACACCCAGACACAGAACAAATGATCGTGCTCATCACACAAACATTTGTCCTGGGTGGGAATCGAACCCACGACCTCCGGCATAGCAGTAAGGGTCACTAACCACTAGACCAACAGGCCTGTCAAATGTTTCCAATGTAGAAGCCTTATTTACTCGTATTTTCAAAAACTGCAATAATAGTATAACATTATTTATATAATTAAATATAAATATAAAATTTGGATACTCTTTTCAAAATAACCCTGTATAGGGGGTATGAGTAGCACGTGCTTTCATTTCAAATAACTCCCTCAGACGACCAGCAGCGACAAATTATAAACTTTTGCATTCTTTTTACTTGTTTTCAACTGTCAGTTTTTTTTAAATTAGTTATCTTATTAATTAAAATTAACTAATATTTCCTTTAACCACTCCTGGTATGCTTGAAACACTTATGTTAGGAGTGGTTCACGACAGTAGTCAAATGGCGGATTCGAACCCACGACCTTTTGAGTTCGCGATCCGCGCCCTGCCATTAGGCTACTGTCGCTTAAATTAAGTGGATGCAGTTAATGCATGTGGACCAAAAATATAATTAACCTAATGATTTATCTTCGCAGAATATACGAAATATATAGAAGTTCTTCAAGATGCTTTAGCTGACGCGCAGGCATTGATCCTTCGACTCGTGCGAGGCTATAAGATTGCTTCAAAAGTTGATGACGAGTGGCAAGTGAAGATAAGAAGCATTATCAAAGAAGTGATTGGTTGAAATTATTTTATATATTTATTTTTATATAATAAGGGTGACAAACGAGCACACAGTCCACCTGAGGGTAAGTGGATGCTGTGACCCATAGTCCACTTCTATCCTCGATTAAGAATAATAATAATTCTTTATTTCATTTGTTGGATTATTAAGTATTGTTAGATTATTAAGTAGAATCAAAATGCAGATGCGTTGTCACCCCTGAAGATTAAGATTGAATGCCTCGTTTCAAGTAAAAAGGGTCTCCGATCCTTTACACTCACCATACGAAACACAGTAGCACTGAGCAGCTACTGTACGCTGGTATTCTGTAAGAGCGTGGTGCTACCCCGGTCGAGCAGATCCATTCGTGCAACCATTATATAGCTTCAGCATGGCTATAACACGTAAAATACATTTTTAATATAGAATAACAACACAATACTAAGATCAAAGCTGTAACCGGAATGTGGTAAACCCAAAAAATGACAACGAAATTATTTAAAAAAGAACTTATTAGAGCACTGCAATATAACCTCTGTGGTATAACTTTTTGTCTTTTATATATTTCTTAAGAGTAGGTATATCAAATATATAGCTTGATATATATTATTATAATCTCTCTCTCCGAACCCGAGCCTGTGTCCTGTGATTACAAGCGTTTAGCTCCTCCAAGCATATTTTGGCCACGAGCTCAACGGTAAATGTAAACATCGTGAACCTTCATGTGTGAGACAGCTGTAGCAGCGCTGGTGAATAACCATATACATCACAGAAATGTGAAGAGGTCTATACCCAGCAATGGGACGTGTAGGTGCATCTTTATTTTTACTTTCTGTGATACCGTACCACCAACCTTCACCAACCCAGACTAACGCTGTAAATAGGGGAAATTCTTTCAAATTATTCAGGCCCGTAGGCTCATTCTTGCCAAGACCTTTACCTAGTACTATAGATTAGGAAAGGCTATTATAGAAGAAGATTTCATTTGCTCATTATTGATTTGAAGGTTGTTTTCAGTTTTTGTCAGATCATGTCCGCCATATTTATTTTATACTGACGTCATATAATCTATTCTACCCACTTTACTTTTAATCGATTGACATAATATATTTGTCAATATCCGACGCGTTAGTTTGGGCTATGGAGTGTAGAAGTAGGAGTACACACTGTGTATTAAAAAGTGTCCATGGAAAACCATTAAATAAGGGTGACGCCACTATAGCTACGGGCTAAATTTTAAAGAACGCACCGAAAATATTAGTGGGATAGACGACTTTTTCGAGGTTATATTTACTAAATAAAATTATTTTACATTTTAGAGCTATTGAGCAGTGCTGAGCAGTTTAGCAGCACACTTAAACCGTCGACAACTGCTAAGTTCATTTCATCCCAGTAGCTACTCCAGCGCTGTTGTGGTGAGTTTTTGATAGTTTTTGAACTGTTATTTACTGCTTACAGATGGCCACTTTTTCAACTGTTCTACTATGGGAGTTGGTACTACTTACTTCTACACTCCATAGTTTGGGCTTAGAAGTAACGGGTGGACTTAAATAAGTACTTATGATATACGCAGATAGTTTTTTGATCATCCCTATTACTTCCGCCTATCGCGTCTCGTGCCTCAAGAACGTGCTATTGATAATTATCTCGTAGATGATTCACACTAACGGAGTAATATAATACGCTCACGCCAACGCTCATGCGTAACACGCGTTCCATTTTGCTGTACGTCCGTCACGTACATCATGACCACAGAGTACTTAGAAGTCACGACTTACGACGTACGTCAACTTACAAACAATTAATAGTAGGTATGTAATTGACGTATGCCAAGCCTACGTTGCCGTTTTTCATTATGCATCGTATATACATGGTAGAGCTACGCTGCAGAATGATAGTACATGGAGACCAGGCAAAATAACAGCGTAAAGTAGTAGTAGCTTATTGCTGCTGTGTTTCGTACGGTGGATTTGGAGAACCGGAGACATATTGAAAACGAGGAATTACATCTTAGTCCTTATGGGTGACAACGCATCTTCATTTTGATTTTTGCCTATAGGTCACGGCATCGACTTATCATCAGGTGGAATGCGTGCTCGTTTATCACCATTATTCAATTTTGAAAAAATGTGCATGAACCTGGCTTGGCGATATGTAAGGTTAGATACGTGGTAAATGTAAGGAAGGTAAAGGAAAGGAAGGAAGGTACATTTCGGAGAGTATGCACAGGAATTTGCTGACAAAATTCCTCCGTCTCCATTCCATCATTGGATAACCAGACTCTCGGCTGGCTTCCCCCTTTTTGGTCGACATACCACGCATTCGTAGGTTTTCCTCATTCTTGATAATGCGTACAGCAAAGGTAATTTGTCTTTTCATCAGATTATAATGTCACCCACATTCAATTATTTAAGGCAGGAGTGAAAAGACTTTTGTTAAACTAAGTCAATGCGCTTTAGCAACTTCGGCTCCATCGACATTCACCATCAGCAGGAATCGTTGTCGACATAGAATACTATACATACATAATAGAAGGGGAAGTGGGCGGAGCCCGTGTAGCTACTAACATGTCACTAACACGTCAATTCACACGTATAAATGTCAACACAATCAATCATTTCCAATTTTCGTGTCAAGCGTAGCTGCATGCCAATTATTTAACAAAATGGCAGGTTGTGCATCAATTACGTGTCGAAAGAACAGCGGGAAATGGAATTTAAATTAAGGAGACATATTCTACAACCAGTAAGTCGAAACTATTTATACTCGTATTTTGTGAATATTAGAAACAAAATTAAATAACATTTATGTGTCAAAACATTAATCAAAAGTCTAAAATGTGTTTGTAGTAGTGATAACTGATAATACAACGTAATTGCTTGTGTGTGTGCTCCCGGCGATGCCAATCCTCCTACAAAGTAAGGTTGGCAGCCATTCTATTGTGTATTATAGTATTCTATGGTTGTCAAGCACTGGCTTATGATAGTAAAAAATTGTATGGTACATCTGACCATAGGATTAAGGAGTTGCACGATTAAACGAGGGCTGCGGGCTTGACTAACGTACTGAATAATTGTTTGTAAGGCCGATATAATATAATTGCTCCGAGTCTGGGGTGTTTGTCCCTATACAATTAGGTAATATTTTTTAATTTTCATACTAATTATGTATATTCTGTTTTTCGTAAGTTCCAAAACTTCGTGTATAATTTCGCTGGTGGTACACCGGAAATGAATCAATACTTCTTCGATTTATCTGAGCTCTTTAAATCAGAATTGCCAGAAGCAGAACTTGCTACGGACGACTCTTCGGAATTGGACGAAGAACCCAAAGGTTTGTACTTTATACTTTGAAAAACACGCATACAAATATTTACGCAATTATTATTTATAGTAGTTAAGTAAGTAAATATAATCTAATTTGAGAAGAATCTGCTATTAGTTAGCGTCAGCGTAAGACGTTTATCATTCCTGTACTTTTATATGGCGCAGAGAATGGTGCCTTTACAAATTGGACATAAAAACTCGCCACTTAACACCTAAGGTGTCTAAGATCTCTATTAAAGATCAAGTACCAGGATCGTAGTAATTCTGGGATTTTACTCAGCTCTGGGATGTATGATATGAAAGCTCTTTTCATGCTACGATAGCTCAAGTGGTACTTTGTCGTCGTCGTCGTCGATGTCCGACGTTTATCTTAATGCATATTGGGAGGATGTTGCAACAGAAAGGTCATCTTAGTGATCTGGGATCTTCAAAAGCATTAAATGGTTTAAGGAATGCCTCCCTATTACTCAGTTAATTGTGCAATTGGATCACCAGCTTTCTTGCGGATCGGAGCATCAAGGTCGTTGTAGACGGTGCATGCTCCGATTACAAGCCTATTAATGCTGGCGTGCCACAAGGCTGCTATCACCGTTGCAAACCGGTAACATTTATTGCTATGCAGATGACAGCACTGGTGATGCTCTGTACACTGGCCGTGCCAATATTTCTTTTTTTTTTTGTAGGAGAGGAGACAAACGAGCGTACGGCTTACCTGATGGTAAGTGATTACCGCCACCCATGAGCAACTGCAACACCGGGGGAATTGCAGATGCGTTGCCGGCCTTTTTAAAAGGAGTAGGCTCTTTTCTTGGAGGTCCCTAAGTCGAATCGGTCCGGTAAGAAAAATCTCTGGTGGTAGTCGATTCCACAAGGAAGTTGTGCGAGGAAGAAAACTCTTTTAAATCGCACGGTGGTAGACCGCAGTCATCCAGATGGTGTGGATGGTATCGCGAGTTTTGTCTTGATGAGCGATGGTGAAATTGTGCGGTTGGAATCAGTCCGAACAATTCCTCAGAGCACTCCCCGTGGTAGATGCGATAAAATACGTAAAGAGATGCAACATCTCTTTGCAGTGCCAGTGAGTCAAGCCGATCGGAAAGAGCTCGGTCGCCGACGATTCAAACAGCTCTGCGCATGATGCGATCAAATGGAAGGAGCTGGCACTGGGGAGCCCCGGCCCAGATATGGGAACAGTATTCCATGTGGGGCCGCACCTGCGCCTTGTAAAGGTACAGGCGGTGAGTCGGCATGAAATGCTGTCCCGCTCTGCTGAGCACGCCAAGCTTTCTAGAGGCCATTTTGGCTTTCTCTTCCAAGTGACCACGAACTGCACGTCACTCGATATGTCGACGCCGAGGATTCAATTCGATACTGGCTGAGGCAACAAGGGAAGTGCCTTGAAACTGAGGAGATACGACGAAGGGGGTTTTTTTAGCGGTAAACGCGCAAACTTGTGTCTTCTGGGGATTAAACTCGACGAGATTTAGTCGCCCCCAATCCGAGACTCTGTTCAGCAAAGACTCGACTTCAGACCCCGCACTGTGCTGTCCCGGCACTCGGCGACGTTTTCCCGAGAAATTCCGGTACCTTGAAGATCACCAACTGATTAGTGACCGCCAGTACGGTTTCCGTCGCGGTCGCTCGACGAGTTTCGATCGAGTTTCATGGCACTCCCCTTGTTGCCTCAGCCACTATCGGAATCATTGGCGTCAACATATCGAGTGACGTGCAGTTTCGTGGTCACTTGGAAGGGAAGGCCAAATTGGCCCCTAAAAAGCTGGACGTGCTCAGCAGAGCGGGACAGTATTTCATGCCGGCACACCGCCTGTAACTTTACAAGGCGCAGATTCGGCCTCACATGGAATGCTGTTCTTATCTCTGGGCTGGGGCTCCCCAGTGCCAGCCCCTTCCACTTGACCGCATCCAGCGCAGAGCGGCTCGAATCGTCGACGACCGAGTGCTTTCCGATCGGCTCCATTCACTGACGCTGCGAAGAGATGTTGCATCTCTTTGCATTTTCTTTTGCACTTAGCAAAGGGAGTGCTCTGAGAAATTGTTCGGATTAAGCCCGGACGCCAAAGTTCATGAACGCACATCGCGGCAAAACTCCCGATACCATCCACACCATCTGAATGCTTGGCGGTCCACCACTGCACGTTTCACTAGGAGTTTTCGTCCGCGTACGACCTCTCTGTGGAATAGTTTACCACCGGCGATTTTTCCGGACCTATACGACTTAGGCACCTTCAACAAAAGAGCTTACTCCTTTCTAAAAGGCCGGTAACGCACCTGCAATTCCCCTGGTGTTCCAGTTGTTCATGAGTGTCACTTAACATAAGGTGAACCGTATGCTCCTATATAAAAAAGTTCAGACCAAACTAAAGAAAATATCCTAATTTCTAGCCACCACCACCATCAAAATTTATATAATTTTTGGTCTTAAAATTCGCCACAAAGCAAATTTTAAATTGTTTAGAATAAGGTGACAAACGAGCACACATTCCACCTGATGGTAATTGGATGCCTATAGACTTCGTGGCTAATCTATCCTCGAATAATAATTAAAATATAGATGGGTTATCGCCGTGTATTTAGATATCTGAAAGGTCTTTAATTTCATAAAGAGAAGTCGAGCAAAAGTCACGTTCGATATAAAGTAAACCTACAAACTGTTCAGAGCAAGTCGCTATTATTAATTATCAATCAAGACTTTAAAATGACATTAACTCCTCACTATATTTTATGTGAGTTGGATTGGATCCTTGTAAGGATGCTGTAGCACAAGCATAACTACGTCCAGTTACTATTAGTTCTTATGTGTGTCGCCCAGAAACAACACCTCGTGTAATATAAATTACGTTGTGATACTTGAGCGACTAGAAGATTTTTGGAGAATGTGTGCAGGAATTTTCTTCCATCCCCTTTAGAAAAAGAGCCAGTTGGCGGGTCTTTAACCGTTTGTTGTTTAATATTCCATGCATTCGAATCAAAACGTTTGTTTCATCTTTCGTAATGCGTTCAGCAAAGGAGTGAATAATATGCCGGCACCTGTCTTTATGTCCGATTACAATTTGGGTGTCTTCAAGGCGAGTGTTTTCTTACGTCAACGTCATGATAACAGAATATTTTTCCAGAACAAATAGCAGATAAATCGTGGTGGAAGATGTTAGAAGGAGACGACGTCCCTTTGGTCATGTTCGGTGATATGGCGGAGCTTAAAGCGCCGCAGAGGAGAAACGTGTTGAAAGCCGCAAAATCAGGCAAAACAATGCCAAACGAATGGAAACGTTATGGTATGTACGATATACAGATAAAATGACTGCCTCGTTGGTCAAGTGGTTATAGTAGTGCGACTGCTTATCACGAGATCACGGGTTCGAATCCCGGGTCGCGCCAAAAAAAAATCAGTTATTGAGATTTTAAATAAAGAAATTCTCAGTAGCTGCCCGGAGTCAGGAAGTTGGTGGTGTCTCACCTCCGTGCCTCGGTAGCACGTAAAGCCGTTGGTCCTGCGCCTGATCTCTCCCTAGTCGTGTTTTACCGTCCCATCGGACTATGAGAGTGAGGGAACAGAGAGTGCATCTGTGTTTACGCATAAACTTGGGCACTATAATCCTGTCCTGCGCCGATGCTAGCCTCCGTTGAGGCTGGCCACCATGACCGAAATTGGGTCTGGAGTACGTTCTATAGTTGACAAGTTGTTAGCGATTAAAAATGAGGGTAGTTGATACAAAGCTATAGTCAATATTTTTCAAGCAGTTATAAATTTATAATACTCACGGAATACCTGCGTAAAATAGTAGCTTAATGCTGTTGTGTTTCGTATGGTGAGGGTATAGAACCGTAGACCCTTTGTAGTGGAAACGAGGCATTCCATCTTAGTCCTCACGGGTGACAACGCATCTGCATTTTGATTCGTAATCGAGGATACATGTAGATGTCTATGTGCCACAGGAACCACTTACCATCAGGTGGACTGTGTGCTCGTTTGTCACATTATCATTTTAAAAAAAATAGCGACGCGAGTTGTGAGCACCAAGTGACAGCATTTGCGTTCTCCAGTACTATACATTAGTCTATGATTTGAGCACATAATTTGGAGTAATTACAAATGCGCAAGTCAAGGTTGTGCTCACGACTCGACTACGTGTACTGTTTATGTAAGATATAAGATCTTAGACACAAACAATTTATATACAGATAAGTAACAATATTTGTAACAGTTCACAAAAATAATTGGTACTGCCAATTTTACCGTTCGGTGACGTCGTGAGAGAATCTACTCTTTTTCGTCTCGTGACGTGGGTTTCGTATAAGTGTGTGAAATGCCAGAACGATTGAATATCTGATAGATGAGTAGATGATGGTATACTATCTCGTTTAATAATAATAATAAATCGGAGATACATCCTAAGGAATGGCACCGTCGGCATCTGTCGAGCTTGTTGCCATCCCGGTGAGTCACTTAGTCATGTCATCTCCGGTTGCTCGGTGCTTTCTTACTCTGAGTACTTACACAGGCACAACCTGGTAGCCAGAATTCTTCACCAGGAGCTCGTTCTGAAATATGATCTCGTGGACTGAAAATTGCCGTATTACAAGTGCTTATCGGAAGTCGTGCTCGAAAATGATCGAGCCAGGCTCTACTAGGACCTGACCATCATCACAGACAGGACTATTCTATCGAATAAACCTGAAATTATGGCACAGTCAAGTATATTTTTGGTCGAAATTACCATTCCGTATAACGAGAACCTCGTGAAAGTCGAAACAGTTATGCAAACAGAATATCTGGACCTAGCCCACGAGGTGACCGACATGTGGGGTGGTCTGCCGACCGAAATATTCCTGTATTCGTTTCTTCAAACGAGCTAATCCCAGTCAGCCTCTCGGGTCATCTGAGGCGACTGGGACTCCGTGACAGACCACTCTGGGCTCAAATGCAGAAGGCGGTGCTCCTCGATACCGCTCGCATTGTCCGCTGGTTTCATTCCCTTTCCCCCTAACGCTCGGACGTTTCGTCTCCTCTGCTTCCATCTGGTTGGATTTTTATTTATTTATGTATTTTTTGTGTATTTATTTTATTTTATTGATATTTATGTATATTTATCATTTTCACTTACAATAATTTTGAATTCAAATTTATTTCTTTGTTTATATTGAAGTTACAACGTTCAATTTATATTACAAAAATTGTAATAAAGAACTTAACTACAATAATAATTAAAATTATAATATTAAAGATTAAAACTAATTATATACAACATAAAAGAAAAAACTATAATATAGAAAATCTAAAACTAAAAATTTAAATCGTCAAAAAGACCTGCTCCCCGTGGTATAGTGCCAAGAACGCTGGCTGCGTTTCCTCGCTGAATAGCTATACTTAGCCTTTGAGCGAGGAAAGAACCAGCCCTCTTATCACCAGCAGCGACGACCAGTCGTGAATACAGTTCCTTTAGAAACTTCATTGCACGTGGACCCCACAGACCGATAGTCTCTACAGCAAATGGCACAAATATGTAGTCATTTCTCAAAGACTCATATTTGCGCCATTTACTAAATTCGGCTGCCTCTGACGCCGCCCCGGCTCTAAAAGAGGTACCCTTGAGATGAGAGGCCGCCAAAGTGTCAACGCAAGTAGCATCCCACACTAGGGCTTTACCTCTATCCCAAGGGACCAAAAAGTCATACCGTCGGGTCTCTTGCCATCGTCTCTAAATATCCCGCAAGGCTCTAAAACCGAGGGGATATTTATAGAGACAAGAGCCCTTCGGATGATTTAGTTCAAAGAACCGTGACGGGAAAACCTACCTGTACTTCCCCGGTCGAGCCGACCCATTCATGCTACAACCATAATATAGCTGGAGCGTGGCTCTACCATGTACCAGTTTAATTACAGGCAATGAGGCATTTCAGCGTAACCTTATTTTTTGAAGTTGTTTTTAGGTGCCCATAGTCTACAGGGGTCACTTGCCATCACGTAACTGTAAGTTTGTTTGTCACTTGAGTTTCATAAAAAAGGTCCTAGTCATTGGACTGTAACACTCTTATACTCGTAAATAAGAAAGTACAGTTCTTCTACTGTCTTATTTTGATAACGACAGCTACTTCATAATACATCGAATTATAGTGCCATAAGTACCTATAAGTAGTAATCTTCGAAACCGACATTTTCAATTTTGCCATAAATGTTCGCTCTCCGGGGTTAATAAAAGAGGAAAGTTGAAATAATGCACTATCGTATTCGTACAAATTGTAATAGACATAAAAATTTAATACGTCCGTAATTTTATTGTCCATGTATTTACCGAGTAGTGGGGGTTTAAGAATCCATATAATCCCGTGGGTGTCGTAAGAGGCGACAGAGGGAAACAGATCAGGACTGCGGTTGCAGGCAACTATGGCACATATCCCCCCCTTTAATCTACGGGGGAGGCCTATGTTCAGCAGTGGACGTTAATGTGCTGTAACGGAATGAGTAACATTAAGTTCCTTATTTAGGACATCATATCAACAATATAATCAACGTATATATAATGTATATATTCCTTCTACAACAGTTTTTAACGACAAGATCCTAAACTCGAAGTGTCCGAATGCTGGTGATATTAAAAATGAATACTTGAAACGCTTACCAGGGAAGTGGGAATGGTGCAATGGACAGATGCAGGAAAGGGAGGTAGGATAGAATTTCATGGAATAACTTTTATTAGTTGTATAAATTATGTAAAATTGTACTTTTTTAGACTTTAATATGTTTTTACCTATGTTTTACAAATACATTATTATTATTTAATTTAGTTTGATAATTTACTATTTGAAAAGAAAAGTTGAGTTTGAATATACTTTATATACGCTATATGCCACGCAGAATATTTTTCAAAATATTTTTTATTTATTAAAAATAATATTTCTTTTATTATTAAATATGTTCAAAGAATTCTCCACCAGCATCTATCAAAGAAGTTTCAAGCATCTGAAACACTTTTTCCAATCGACCTCAGACACCTCTTCTATCATCAATTATCTTCTATATATTCTAGCATCTTCCGGCGATGAAAATGTTATCCCTTTCGGCTGATCTTTTATTTTTGGGAATAAAAGAAAGCCACACGGTGACACATCATGGCTATTAAAAGAGTGACCCAAAACCTTAACCGGTTTGCAAGAGTATTTAAATCTTTGTTTGCAAGTCCAACACTTTGAGCGCTGATGGCGCGTGCCTTTGTTATGGAGAAGCAGTAGTTCGCTGAGCTTCGTGTTCGATCATTGGGCCTGGCACTTCTGGCCATTTGTAGCAAAAATATTAACAAATGGCCACAACAGTGAACACTTATAGCATCATTTGTTGAAACGATTTGGTAAACATTTTGTATTTAGGAAATATTTTATTTTCCAGGTTTATACAGATTTTTTTTCTAACGCCGAGCAAAGCTCCATCGTATAGGTACCTACTATGTATTTTGTTATTTATATTTCCAGAGCCACTCCAGCCATCGTATGAAGCAAGCTAGCGTGGATATCAGAGGCAATATGGGCTCTATTTTAAGGATCATGTAAGCTTTTTATAATAATAAAAGGGTAAGGAACATGAATTTGGTTTTCGTCGCCAGAAAATAATCTGCAACCCTACTAGTTTTTCACCGTTTCTAGAACACACACGCACACGCACGCACGCACGCACGCACGCACACGCACACGACAAGCGCACGCGCACGCGCACGCGCACGCGCACGCACACGCACACACACACGCACACATACACAGACACACACACACACACACACACACACACACACACACACACACACACACACACAAATATTATACATTACACACATAATTTAAATTACACATTATCTTAAATAATAAGCATAATAAATATTTGATATATTTATAGGTAACTAGAAATGTAATGATTTGTTAGATTTACGCAGACTTACATTACAGGATCTTATATTTACACATTTAGTGAAACTAACTTTACGAGTTTTATTGTGTTTAATTTTTTATTGCCGACGTTTCGGTGCATTACAGCACCCATGATCACGGGGACTAAGGTGTTTGATGTCCCTGAATGTCGAAGTTAACCCGGCTACCTTCAGTTTTAGAATATTAATTTTTGTTCCGATCTATAGTATCTTAAAGACTTGCAATATATTGAAGTCTTGAATTATAGCATTTCAAGCAGATATTAGCACCCATCTATCTTCTCTATTTAAAGTAGGATGTTCTAATTAAAAAGTTAAAATTAAATGCAATAAAATCCTTAAAATTGTTTAATTTCATTAGAAATGTATTATTATTTTACGAGAAACACGTCAGATAATTAATAGGCCTAAAATTTTAAACGTTAGAGATGATACAACATATTATCTACATTATACATATATTGTCTACGTTAAGGTTGTCCAAATATTCGAATACATTATGCATATACATTTATCACCTCCGGTTACGTCAACCAACTACTCAAGCTCTCCTGTACCCTTTTCCATTTCTTTATTTTAGTGCATCCTCCGGTTACGGTCAACCAGTGACGAAAGCAACTTTACTCGGTGCGAGAGACTCCATGGAGATAGCTTCTACTCCGAGATTGGTACCATTTCATTATCCCAACCATTTCATATTGTACTATATTTTAACCTTAAATGAAAATCGTTAGTTTTTAAGTAGTTTAGGATTGGAATTGGCGGCAAATATCTCTGCGGCGTTGGTTACTTACTCGGTATTAATTGTATTGCGGGCTTGTTTGTACATGAAAGGGATGAAATCATTAGTAAATACGATAAACATGAGCGGTCCCAAAATGGAGCCATGTGGCACTCCTCTATTTAATTCATTATAATTTAATTAATTTTATATAATTTAGATGTATACGTCTTTTCATACTTACCCTCGGTAAATTTAAGTTCAACATAATATTTCTTTCTTTTTTCTAAATAAGACTTAAATACTTAGCTGCAAAAAAATGAAATGTTAGTATTTATTTCTTCGACTTCTTTCCGACTTAAAGAATTAAAATTTCGTTTGTCCAATAACATTTTTTTCAATAAGTTACTTTGATGAAAAAAGCCGTCCGCTCTTTTTGTATTCCCAGTCACGTGGACTTTTAAAGGCTAATGGCTACAGTTATACAATTTAAAATTACATTTATTATATGTTTATTATAAACTAAGCTAACCTAAAACATCTTAATACCTTAACTTAACTCAATTGGTATTTAAACTTGTGCATACATCCATCCATCCCTCTATTGCAACTTATAAAATTGCACTGTAGAACAAAAGCCTTCCCCAAAGATTGACTCATAGGGTGGGAGGGGGGGGGGGTGTTGCCATAGTTGTCACGCTTGGTAGGCAGGTTAGCAATCGTAGTTCTCTATAATTTTCGGTTGTTATATGATGTCGCCTCTTACGACATCCACAGGACGATATGGGGTTAGTGAATCTTCTTCGCCATTACACGGTTAATACTAGTGCATTGAACAAATAAATCTGTTTGATTAAATTCAACATTAAATGTTACAACTTCATTGTTTTCTTTTACAGCGCGAGCGGCGAAGAAATTCGGATCCAAATAAAGTTGTTCTCGATATTGGAAGCAAGCGAGTAAGTATAAATTAATATCAATCACGATATCATTATCATCACACGAGCAGCGCCGTTGACGACTATGCTAACCATACAACACGTAACATAATTAACACACTTTGAGAAAGTAGTTTGTTTATAATCGTTTACTGAATCGATTCCTATCATTTTTAATATAGGTAATGTTTATCCCAAAAATAATTAAAACTACGTAAATTACAGTCACACTAAATCTGTACACTCAAAACAAACTGAAATGGACCGTAACTTAAGGCAATAAGACTTTTAAGAGTGCAGTTTTATTTGCATTATTACTAATTCTGTCATTCAATAAAAAAAATTAACTTTATTTCAAGCTCGTTAAAGTCTTTGCGTTCGTGGATTTGTACTGTAACCAGAACATTCTTCCAGAATTAGTATAACTAATTTGATAAATAATCAGTGCATAAAAATGTTTAACTAAAAATTCAGTGTATGTATTATGATTATAACATAATATACTAATTGGGGTGTCTGAGGGTGTGCGTTAATTACGTTACATATTATATACGAGTACGTAGTACTAGAAGAACCCAGACTTGGTTCAACTTACTAGTTTGTGCAATAAAAAGGTACTCGGTCCCTCCGATTTCAATGTCGTATTTTGTTTGATTAAAATTGAAGAAATAGAAGATACCGGTGCACCGGTGCCTCGCACCGTCCTAGAGCCACCGTATGCCTGCAGCACAGAGTAATAGCTGAAAATAGCATTATATATATATATATACTAGCTGGCCAGGCAGACGTTGTTCTGCCCTTTTCGACGACTCATTGTCATGTGCTATTAAAAATTCTTAAATTCGCAAAAAAAGAATATTGTGAGTCCCCATGGGCAAAAAAACTATCCTATCTCTCAAGTTGGACCAAACTGCACACGGTGTGCAAATTTAATTTAATTCGGTTAATTAGTTTAGGAGTCCATCGCGGACAAACAACGTGACAGGCAATTTATATATATTTAATATATATAATTTAATAAATCTTTTTATTGGGTTAGTGAGTTGTTGCAAAAACAATATCTTTAAATTTTGGACCTTTTTTAATAATAATAATATTTTAACACTATATATATATATATATATATATATATCATCATCATTACAGCCCTTCACAAGTCCACTGCTGAACATAGGCCTCCCCCAAGTAATGCCACAAAGCACGGTCCTGAGCCACCTGCATCCATCGACTTCCTGCATGTCTTACCAGGTCGTCACTCCATCTAGTGGGGGGTCGCCCTACACTACGCCTACCGGTACGAGGCTGCCAGTCGAGGACCTTTCTTCCCCATCGGTTATCGGTTCTTCGAGCTATATGGCCGGCCCATTGCCACTTCAGCTTACTAATCCGTTGGGCTACGTCGGTCACTCTAGTTTCACTGCGGATATCCTCATTTCTGAGTCTATCACGCAGTGAAACTCCGAGCATAGCCCTCTCCATAGCTCGCTGAGCGACCTTGAGCGTCCTCATACGGCCAGCGGTGAAGGACCACATCTCAGATCCGTAAGTCATCACTGGCAACACGCACTGGTTGTACACTTTAGTGTTCAGAGATTGAGGTATACCTGATGAGAAGATGTGTAGTAATTTCCCGAACGCTGCCCAGCCGAATTCGAATCGTTTACTCTCGGTCGAAGTTGGACTTACCTAGTCGGACTATTTGTCCTAGGTAAACGTACTCGTCAACAACTTCGAGCATAGTGCCCCCAACAATTACCGGCATAGGTATGACATGGACATTAAACATGGTCTTTGTTTTGTCTATGTTCATCTTAAGAACTATCCGTTGGGAGACAACATTGAGGTCATTGAGCTTAGTGCTTAGGTGCTCCATCGATTCTGCCATAAAGACTATATTGTCGGCAAATAGAAGGTGAGTGATGTACTCGCCATTGATGTAATACCGTATCATTTCCAGTCCAGTAGCTTGAAAAAGTCTTCCAACGCAGCGGTGAAGAGTTTCGGGGATATAACATCACCCTGTCTTACATCTCTCTGCAGTTGGATAGGTTTCGTACTCTGGTTCTGTACTCGGATAGCCATCGTAGCCCTACTGTACAAACACTTCAGCACTTCAATATACCGACAGTCAACTAGGCACCGCTGAAGAGACTGTAGCACCGCCCAAATTTCGACGGAATCAAAGGCTTTCTCATAGTCCACGCAGGAAAAGTGGCAGATTGTACTCTTCGGACTTCTGTACAATTTGCCGAAGGGTATGTATGTGGTCTATGGTACTGAAGCCTTTTCGGAAACCGGCTAGTTCGGGAGGCTGGAAGTCGTCGAGTCTGCGTGCGAGACGATTCGTAATGACTCTCGAAAACAGCACGTAGACGCGGCTCAGAAGGGAAATCGGTCTGTAGTTCTTCAAGAGAGCGTTGTCGCCTTTCTTAAAGAACAAGACCACCGCGCTTCTGCTCCACGCCTCCGGAGTAATGCCACCATGGAGGACGGAATTGAAGAGCTTCTGAAGGACTTCAAGTACCGGTGTTCCACCCGCTTTCAGAAGCTCCGCTGTAATTCCATCCTCGCCCGGGGCCTTGCCGTTTTTAAGGTGGTGGAGAGCCATTCTAATCTCGCTCAGACTGACGTCCGGGATATCATCGGAATAGTGTCGGATAAGACTTGCTCTTGGATCGTTACTCACACTTGCGTGTGGCTCCAACGATGATGTGTACAGCTGCCCATAGAACTTCTCAATCTCACTCAGAATCTCAGGTGTCCCGGAAACGATGTTGCCACACTCAGTCTTCAGCCTTGACAGTTGGCTCCTTCTGGCAGACAGATCTCTGGCAAAGACTTTGGAGCCCTGGTTCCGCTCGATCGCTTCTTTAATATGAGCAGTATTAAAGTTGCGTAAGTCTCGCCGCATGCATTTGGAGATCTGTCTGTTCAGCTGCCTGTATGCTGTCAAATCTGTTGACGATTGCAGCCTCATCTCCCGTCTAACAGCCATGAGATTAAGAGTGTGATCGGAGAGTTTTTGTGTTCTTCTGCGGCGGGTCTTGCAGAACTTAGCTCCGACCGCATGGACAGTTTCCACGAGCTAGTCATTCATATCGTCCACTGCATTGCAATCCTCTAGGCACTGAAAGCGGTTTTGTAACTCGAGCTGAAAGGTTTCGGGATTGTGGATTAGAGCACGAGGGGGGACGGAGCGTTGACTTCATTAGACGAGACCTCTCCAACTTAACGTTTAGGTTCAGTGTGCCTCTAACCATTCGGTGATCGCTGCCAGTTTTCACCCTTGCGATCACTGAGACATCACTGAACAGTTGACGTCTGGTCGTCATAATGAAGTCAATCTCATTTTTTGTCGAACCGTCGGGGCTCGCCGCGCTTCTGGAAGAAAGAGTTCATCATAAAGAGTCCCTCTTTCTCCATAAAGTCGGCCTGCTGCTGGCCCCTTCGGTTAAGTTGCCCGATTATATATATATATATATATATATATATATATATATAATATATATATATATATATATATATATATATATATATATAATTTGATATGAAAATATAAATATTAATGATGTGATAGTGCAAATAATAGTTAATGTTTTTGTTTTATTATGTCACTTTCTAGTTTATTAATTAAGTTTTTAGTTGGTTAATTATTATCAATGTTTTTTTTGTAATTTTAATTTATATTGTACTTAATAATACTTAATGTTTTTAAATTTCTATCATTTTGTGCATCACAAATGGTAATGTGTTGTAATATTTTTTTTAAACTTTAAAACACACTTATTGTGCAAAATAATCAAATAAATAAATAAATAAACTGCTGTGCATTATGGTGTGTGTAGATACTGTACTCGTAGAAGCCTATGAAATCCTTTTTACTGGAAACGAGGCAATCTATTTTAGTTATTATTTTTTCTTAATCAAGGAATGTAGGTGTCTATGGGCTGCTATTCGAGTTAGTCCTTCATCCTTCATCACCCTTATTTGTATAAAAAAGTAATACATTAAAATACATAGTCCGATTTATAGGCTTCCAGATTTGATGACTATTATCAAGAAATACCGTTGAACGACATTGAAGACTTTGATACTTCGCGAAGGTACTTACTGATTACTTTCCTGTTTTATTTTTAATTCAAGATTTTAGTATTTTTATACACATACAAACACACATACATGGAGTATGAAACTCTGGAAGAAAGAGATAGAAAAAGAAACCAAGAAAAAGACCAAAGAATTTAGATCTTTTTTCAAGTTATTATAAGCCAGTGCTTGACTACAATCCCACCTGATGGTAAGTGGTTGGTAAGTGGTAGTAGATAAATATGTTTTTTTGTCGTTGCGAAACTAAAAGTCCCGAAATTACTGTGAACGACGGCGAAAAGAACTTTATTAATTTTATCAATGCAATATTGCTTTTGTTAAAAATTTTACAAAAGAAAAATACATTTGTCTATGATTGAGTCAATAAATACCATTGACTTATAATTTCATTCAAAACAGCCAATCAAAGACCTCTGATGAACATAGACTTCCCCATAAATTACCTCATAAGGGGAACATTTGCTATATTTGCCACGCTTGACAAGCGGTTTTCATTTTCTAGTTCTTATTAAAAAGACGCTGCTGATTTCTATTTTCTAGCTCTTATTAAAAAAACGTTGCTGCCCATCTCCTGGTTCTTTTCCCTCTGCTGCTAACGGCACCGACAGGACGATAGTGCATATTCTTGCACCTACACAACACGGTCTAAACACGATGGAAAAAAATAGTCCAGCTGGGTTTCTTGCTGATTCTTCCCAGGACAGAGGTTTTTTTTTTACGAACCAGTGGTAAATGAAAAAAGTGACATTCAATAAATATTATTATAATCTACATTGAATAATGAGCTGTGAGGGTGATCGCTACCAAGCTATTTCTAATTTGTCTTGTGTTGTTGATTGTAAACATGATTGTAAGCTATTATTGAAAAAAAAATTGTCCCTCTGGGTTTCTTGCTGGTTCTTCCCAGGACAGAGGTTTTTTTTTGCGAACCAGTGGTAAATTAAAAAAGCGACTTTCAATAAGTATTGTTATAATCTACATTGAATAAAAAAGTTTCTATTCTTCTATTCTGTTCTACAGATTCAAAATTCAATTTAACAAGATCGCTAAACATTGGCTAGCTCTTTTCTTAAATATTACCTAAACGATAAGCGATTTAGTTAGATAAACTTTATTTATACATTTAAATGAAAGTGTAGACGACATGCGCGTTCTGTACGTGCTCATTTCTACATAGGTTAAATCATTTACTATATGGTTGATAACGATTTCGATATTATGTAGAAACATATTTATAAGCAGTGTGCCAAAACAAAAGTATTTAAAAATTATTAAATTATTTTTGGATAGTTGGTTGGCGGCTCAGTCGGTCAAACACTTCAATTATACTTAATGACGACGCGCTTTATTTTGACGGTTTTTATAAAAAAAGAATTCTGGCGTTTAATTAACCGACCAACAGTCTAATAAGGCATGTCATTGAACCAAGGGGCTGTATCATACAGACTCAATATGATTATCTTTTTTTAGACAGGAGTCATCACAAATTGAAGAAGAAGAGATCATCGAAGAATCATTTTCTACTCTTGGGTAAATTAAAAATTATTTAAATAATTTACAACTAATCAAATAGTTTTATTATAACTATTATTATTTGTTTACATACATAAAAAACAAGCAAGCATACAGCCAGTGCTGCCTATGCGTAAACAGTACTATACATATAACAGATCATTATTTTGAAGAATGAGGCTGACAAACGAGCACATAGACCACCTGATGGTAAGATGACCTGATGGATGCTATGGGTCGTAGACATTTACATCTATCCTCGGTTAAGAGTTAAAATGTGGATGTATTGTCACCGAATATACCTAAATACGTTACCAAAGAAAGTGGCTAGTTCTCTACATTCACCGTACGAGACACAAAAGCATTAAGCTGTTAATTCATACTGGTATCCTTTGAGAGCGTGGTTCTTCCCCGGTCGATCCATTCGTATTACAACCATAATACAACTACAACGTGACTCTACCGCGTATAAAAAGCACATAAATTATCCCATAGATAGGATCTGTAGGATATTTCTAACCTACTTCATAAAGAACCACATTAACAATGAGATGTCATCCCCGAGTAATTTATCAATGTTCGTGTGCATCATGTATGTGTAATGTAATCTTCATACAATCATCATCATCATCATCATTACAGCCCGTCACAAGTCCACTGCTGAACATAGGCCTCCCCCAAGTAATTCCACAAAGCACGGTCCTGAGCCACCTGCATCCATCGACTTCCTGCATGTCTTACCAGGTCGTCACTCCATCTAGTGAGGGGGTCGCCCTATACTACGCCTACCGGTACGAGGCTGCCACTCCAGAACCTTTCTTCCCCATCGGTTATCGGTTCTTCGAGCTATATGGCCGGCCCATACAATAATGGTTTCCAACTCACGCACACAGGCGCGGCTTCACCTACAGTAGCAGACAGAGAAATGATGGCGATATTTAGTAATATCGCTACTTTAGGCGAACTCCTCGCTTGTGTGAAATCGTGGGAGATTCTTGTATGAAGCCTCTCCTAATCTCGTTCACACTGTGTACTGTTCAATAGGGTAGTTGCCACTCAATTCCATTGAAATACTTTTTAATACCTATCAAAATATTTTATAGTCAACTAGCGATTCGCCCCGACTTGCCACGGGTGATATCATTTTTTTTAATTATTATCTCTAAAACAGCGCCGTCTACTCAGTTGCACACAAACAAAACGACTCAGTTAAACACAAACAAAAATTTCATCATAATCGGTCCAGCCGTTTAACCTCTCAAGCCCCTAGCGGTCTCATGAGACCGCGGCCATATTCCGTCAAATCCCTAGCGGCCTCATGAGGTCGCACCCACCCACAGCACTTTAACTCATAAAACTTGTGTATAGAGACTACTTTTCTATGAAAAAGTTTGGCATTATATAATCAATACGAAATACTCGTCGCACTCAAGCGAAACACTTCGAAGCCTAAATCGTGCTATCAAAGTTCTGAGGTAAAATCAATATACATAGAACTGCTCCGAACCACCACCCTCCCTGGGCTACGCTCCCTGGGCTGAACACTTGCCCGGTAAAAGATCACCCTTTTCCTCACACAGCCAAAACACTTATAAAAGAATTATATATAAATGATTTATTAAATCTTACTTATAATGGAAACCGACTAAGTTAGTGACACTACTAAAAGAAGAAGATTCAAATTATTTCTTTCATTCGTTCATTAAAATCCCTTTACATGGTATCGTATTATTTATAAATAGCGTCAATTAGATAGTCAATATTGCAATTTTCTATTGCTTCCGCTTCAGGAGTATTCACAAAGACAGCCTCGAAATGATTCCAAGCCATGTGCCCGATAGAGACGCTAAAATTAACAATGAGAAGGTATTTTGCTTTATATTATTTGCTTTTATTACTATATTAATCACTTTTTATCTTGCTTAGTCTACTACGGTAGTTAGCTTCGAAAGTATATAATTACTATCACATATCTATATAATTTCTTTTAATTACTAAGAGCCGTGTTAGTTCAGAAGCTACGCTTTCATAAATTTCACGTAGATAAGGAACTCAGAGAAAACTTAAATGTCTAAGATATAAACATATATAAAAATATCTCGAAGACATGTCAAATAGAAGGAAATGCTAACACTGGGGGGCAGTGCGGTGGACACATTATTGCCCTAAAATTTCTTTCAGAAATGAGAGGAGGCCAGTGCCTAGTTGTAAGTTTAACCATTTTTAGCTTCAATTAGTAACATTACATTTAACCCCTCCATCTCAGCGCTAATGCATGTGGTGTGTCAAGAATTATGACATTTATTGTTGGTGTTGTTTGTAGCCAGGATAGAAATATGTCGCTTTAGGATAAATTTATCATACCTTAGAATATACAAGGGCATCATACTGGACAAGGGCATTTAAAAAACTGCCCCATCAACAAAGTATTTCTTAAAAATTACATTTTGGTTGTTTTTCTTAATTTTAAAAAGCTCAGTGGTTAAAAAATTAATGAAAAATAACCCGATTACGTAAAACAGTTTACTGAAAAGTGAATAATTATTTTTCACGTTGGTAAGACCTTAAGGGTTAATGAGATTGTAAGTTTTGAAAATTTTAGTAAGAATGGTTGCTCACCAACTTTAAATCGTTATATATCCTAAATGGCCTTTAAAAATGAAAGTGATTACAGAAACATAAATATGATTTTTAAAGACCTATTCAATGATACTCCACCTGTCATACTTCCTTTTCGTTTCTCATAATATGTCGTCTGGTTGTTACCATATTGAATATTCGTTACTGATATATCTTTAGTGACACTAAAAAGATTAAGACAAATCGATTTACGTAAGAATCGTCAAAACCGGCCCACGAGTTTGGTCTCTGGAGCACCACAAAGGAACAAATATGAGACTGATAAACACATTAACCTCCTTTGCGTCGCGCAGTCTGGTAAAAACATCATTCCTTCAGTAATGGATGCCATACACAATCCAGTTTACCGTCGAGTTTGCAGCGCGCTTGAAGCGGTGTCTAGTTTGCAGTGCATTCATATAGACAACTCATCCAGTCATCCGTTCCAGTTTGCATGCCGCACCAGTTCAGACAATATCATCATAAGTGACGGAGGACAACGCGTTAGCCATTACAGGCTTATTACTTGCAATTAAGGAAACAAAAAAGGAAGATCGTTCAGTATGGTGCACATGTTCATCATCATCATCATTACAGTCCTTCATAAGTTCGCTGCTGAACCTAGGCCTTCTCCAAGGAATGCCACAAAGCATGACCCTGAGCCACTTGCACCCATCGATTTCCTGCATGTCTTACCAGATGGTTACTCCATCTAATGGGGGTTGCCCTACACTATGCCTCCCGGTACGAGGTTACTACTCAAGAACCTTTTTTCCCCATCGGTAGTCGGTTCTTCTAACTATATGGCCACTTCATCTTACTAATCCTTTGGGCTATGTCGGTCACTCTGGTTCTACTGCGGATGTCCTAATTTCTAAGTTTATCATGCAGAGAAACCCCAAACATAGCCCTCTTCATAGCTCGCTGACCGACCTTGAGCATCCTCATACGGCCAGCCGTGAAGGACCACGTCTTAGATCCATAAGTCATCAAACAGGTTATGGAACGAAAAAATTGAGGCCTGCTCAAGCTGACCAACATCATACATACTTGACCACTCATACACACGTTCAAGTTTACATAACGCTGCAAGCTTGATCAAGTTGGCAGAATGGAAATTAAATTTTTGCTTCAAGTAGACTTGTCATGGACACTGATAGTCATACACCGTCAAGTTTACTGGACGCCGCTTCAAACGCGCTGCAAACTTGACGCTAAACTGGAACGTGTATGGTATCTATAAGATGTTTTTCTGCATCGTGGAGTTATGTAATACTTATACATAAATTGCCCATGGGTAACCAAAACATAATCAATGCACTATCGAGTTGTTGTCTTTTACTTGTATTGATGTTCCATCTGTGGAATTTGAAGTCGGCCTTTTTGGTTCGATTTCTGGCGTCATCAACAACCATCCGAGACTTGTCGGTCAAACAACCGGTGATGCACCACACGCAGGTAAGTAAAAATAAAAATGCCATCTGATTAAATGCAAAAATAAAAACATTTCAGGTGTGTCCGATGGAGAAGTGTCAGAGAATGCAAGTGGACTCTTTTGTTCGAAGCCTGCCACCGTACATGCGGGCGAACCCTTTTACGCACTTCGAGAAGTCATATGAAGAATATGAGCTTTGCACGCCTGGTGCGCTTTATATTGAATTGCTAGCGGTTTCATTGATTGAATTTGATTTCTATATGACCTTCCACCCTACTGAGATGACTTCCGCATAGCCTAGCCATCAAAGCACCTGGATACAGCGTTGCAAGTCCCGGATTTTAAATCAGACGCCCGGTCCATCCTGTCCGATTTATGACCGTCTCTATGTCTTTTAGTGTTGCCCAAAATCGGTCTTGGTCTTGCAGTCTTGGTCTTCTTTTTGCATTTTTGCAAAACCAAGACCAAGAACAAGACCGCCTAATTTTAGCAAGACCAAGACTAAGACTGACCGTGCAAGATTTGAGCAAGAACAAGACTAAGCCTGCGAGACTCTTGCGTCTTGCAGTTAGGAATGAGTGTCATTTCAGGGAGTATAGGAGTTCGGGTATACGCTTTGGGACTCTATGAGACGCAAAGAATTATATTAAAAAAAATTGGAAAATTGGACTTATGCGCATTACGAACAATACCATAGACATACATAGCGGATGAAAATATCCATTAAAAGAAAAAACAGTGCATCCCTAGTTTTGACCATCGGCACTTTGATGGTGCGCGGCGTCTTGTTGTCGGCATCATCAAAGGTCGAATACTGACCTGTCAAAGAAATTTTGCAGCTATTCGGAAGTACAAGGTCAAGATACACGCGCCGGCGGCTTCTATTGATATCGCATTCAATCGTCGCCGCCGCGCCGCACGCACTACATTTGACACTGTTTGAATGCCGCCACAGAGTACATGTTCCAAAGAATAAAATAAGTTTCCGGGTGCTCAGAATGGACACGAATACATTATGCTGATCTCGCAAGGAATATTGTAATTAGATAATGGTAAGGATAGGTAGATACCATAATAATTTATACTAGTAAGTAATTATTATAATATTAACTATATGGGTTTATAATAATTACTTACTATTATTATTATTACCTAATAGATAAACATGCTCAATAAGTTCACTGCAAATCTCGATTTTTGGAAGTGTGTGTTTTTGAACACAAAGTGTTCGAATATGTCGTCACCCATTTAATAAATATTGTAGACACTTTTAACACACTTGAAACGTGTAAATATTTTGTACAATGCTAATCAAATAATATAAAAAGGATGCATATTAAATAAAAAGCGTAAAATAAGATCTATGTACTTTTTAGGAGCCCGAGTATCTCTTAGAGAACCGTTTAAAGAAATTGATTGCATCGAATTGATGTAAATAATAGTGATTTGCACAATTTTGTTCCAGTTACACGAAGTATATAATGCGTTCTTGGGTAGCGATATACGCTTTTATAATAAGATTCCAAAAGAAATGTTAGATCTTTCGCCTTTTCAATTTAAGTCAGACAAAAATGCTTGGAACTGACCTCTCGTACTATACAGGACTAACTAGAAATTTCTAAACCGATTTGGTATCTACATATACATTTGACATTTTATGTTTGACTTATCGCTTTACATAATTATAGAACTATTGTAAAAATATTTTGAAAAGAGCAACTACTGAGTTTCTTATTTTCTTCCATGATTCTTCACAGTAGAATCAGAACCCCTGGACATGGAAAAGAAAAAATTGGGGAAAACAGTGATTATATGACTATTCAAAAGTGTATTTTTAATGCCTACTTGAATAAAACATATTTGAATTTCAAACGAGTGAAGGCAAATTTAATTTAATTAACGTAGATTAATTCAATCACAAGAAGAACATAATATACACAACTTTATTTACATAATTACAATTCATTTTTACGTAGGCACACTATACCTATCTGGCAACGCATCTACTTTATTAATCTTCTGAAGAATCATTAATTTTATCAAAGGATGCCGAACTTTCCTTTGTCGGTCTTTCTGCGTGTACTTACAAATAGTAGTATTTATTTTAATTCCAGTCATTCCCAATTGAGCTTTACTTCGAGTCTAATGTATTAATTGTTTTTACTCTAATCCTTGTTGTTGTCGGAGTGATAAATTTACAATTTGACATGAGTGACGAAGAGTCGAATAGTTCTAGTCGGAGTAGTGAGAGTTGGAGTTATAGATCTAAAAGACCTAAAAGTAAATTTGATGAGTTTTTCGACATAATTCATGCATCCCAAATTGCTTTGTGTAAATTATGCCAACATAAAAAAGGTTGAAATAAAAATGAAAAACAGAAACACTTCAGGCTTAAGGAAGCATCTAATATCTTTCCACAAAAAGGAATCACAAATATTTCTTCCTGAAAAACCAAAATCAAGTGGAGATATCACAAGATTTTTAATAACCACCGGAAAAAGTTGACAGGTAAAAAAATGTACTTATCACACAATTACATAACACATATATTATGTAACTAGCGGCCGCCTGCGACTTCGTCCGCGTACAATATCTGATTTCCTATGAGATTTTGAAATTTTCTCGCTGCAAAAGTCTTACCTAAGTATAAAGAGGCTATATAGGTAAAGCTTAACTATGCAAGTATTTATTATTTAAAACTAATAAAGTAAATGTCGATCTTCATATCTACACTTTAAAAATATAGGACTTGCATGTAACCATTTTACCCCAGTTTCACCCCCTTAGGGTTAGGATTTCGTAAAACAGCTTATTCAGGATTTTATTATTGAAAACTTATAACTTTAATGCCGATTTTCGTGTATCTAACTTCAAAAACGTAGGACTTTCATACAAACTTCCAACTCCCATTTCACTCCCTTAGGGATAGATTTTCTCAAAACCGTTTCTTAACTGATCTCTATGCCATAAAAGGAACCCTTACAAACTTCAAGTTTGTATGTTTTATAGTTCCTGAGATATCGTCATAGTCGAGACACATGATTTACTGTTTTATTTCAGTCTGAAAATAGCAGTGACAACATCACGACAGCTACAGTTGATTGGATGGTTAAAAAATATCTTCCCTTCTCATTTTTCGATGACGAAGCTACACAAGTATATTTTCGACCAATTTTTTGCCCACATATGTTGTTTCCTAAAAGGTCCACACTTAGAAGGAAAGTCAAAGGACGGTTTGAAGAGCTTCAATTGAATCTTAAGAAACGACTACAACAATTTTCATCTAAAATGTCATTTACTATTGATGGATGGACGTCAATTGCTGGTAGGAGTTACTACGGGGTCACTATTCATTATATAGACAACAAATGGAAGTATCGATCTGTAGTCCTTGATTTTATACCATCACGCGGTCGACATACTGGGGAAGATATTGCAACGACTTTCCACTAATGTTTATTGGAATATGACAATTGATAAAATACAGGGTATCACGGTCGACAACGCAACTGCAAATACCAAATTTATGTATGAATTGGAGACATACATTCAAATTCAGACAATCAACATTTCCGGTGCTTTGCTCACATTTTGAACCTTGGTGTACAAGATTTATTAAAGACCTTAGCATTACACAGTGAAACTGACAATAAGGGACAAGAACAGCAGTATGAAGATAATGAAGACGAAACTGAGGAAGATGAAGAATATGCGCCAAATATTGCTGACTCACGTACAGCTATAACAAAATTACGCAGTATTTCCAGTAAAATAAAAAAGAAGTGAGATATTGAAGAGGAAGTTTCAGTCTGCTTGTGAAGCAGCTGGCGTGCCATCAAATCTGAACCCCATACTCGACTGTCCAACGAGATGGAATTCCACACATGATATGATTGGATTTGGTTTAAAAGAGAGAAACATAAATTTCTAATAAACTTTAAACTTCTATCAACGAAACTTGGTGGAGAAAAATATGTTACATTACCGCTAGTCATTGTATCATTCAATCTCTTGCTCGATAAAATTGAATCCATGTAAAACAATTGGATGAGAAACCTAATCGATCCGAAATGGATGAAAGGCTCATTCTGGGTTTTCAAGCAGCTCGAGACAAAATGCTTAAACATTATAAAAAGAGCAACTGGATTTATTGTACCTGTTTAATTTTAGACCCAAGGCATAAGACTCAGACTTTTGACATGACATTATGGGGGAAGCAAATTAAAACAGAAAACCTGCGCAAATTTAATGAACTTTATAAAGAATATAAAATTCTACACTCAGTGAATACATCTCTAGAATCACCAAGAAATGAAAATAAAGTATGTGAATATGATGAAAATGAAGACGTAATAGACTTTGAGAAATTGTATGCATGTCCCTCGACGTCATCTGGATCTGGATCTTTTCATCAAGGCTTAGTTATAGACGAGTTGGAGGAGTACCTAAGTAAACCCAGAGCTGCCAGTTCGGAAGACATTTTAGAGTGGTGGAGGACGCATGAGACAGAATATCCGACTTTATCGAAGATGGCCCGTGATTTTCTTTCAATACCTGCAACTTCAGTACCTGCTGAGAGATTATTTTCTAAAGCATCATTAGTAATTAGAAAACATAGAAATAGGTTAAGTGATGAGTCTGCCAGATGGTTACTTTGTATTAATTCTTGGTCAAAAGAATTAATATAAAGTAACAGTAATGTCAAAGCTGTGGTGTACTGTTATGTAATTTAATTTGTATTGTATTTTATTTTTTTATTTAAATAAATGGTAAATTGTATAACTCTTTTATTCCATTTCATACAAGGGTCTATCCATCTCTTTCTAGACAGATAATGTTCTTTATAATACAGTCAAGTTAATGTCATTAATTTGTTTTTTATATGTTTTGACTAAGTTTTAGCACATGTAAGCTTATTAAATGTAAACGATATTAAGAAACAGACTAACTCCCGTGGCCGTGAGACTTGGTAGACAGCTCAGTTGGTTAGAGCATCGGCACGGATCGCTTAAGTCGTGGGTTCAAACCCCACCCGGTATTAGTTGATTTTTCGAATTTCTCATTAAATGTTTAGACATTTATTTATTTGGTTGGTCTTTCTATGGATATGTTATTTCAAGCTCAAAATGTGCCTACTCTGTTAAGTTATTCTATGATCTAAAGTAACGTTTAATAAATAACAATAGGCTAATAGGTAATTGCGAGACTTGCGAGACTCTTGCTGCAAGACCAAGACCAAGGACAAGACTGAGAGCGCAATACCAAGACCAAGAACAAAACCAGGTATATTTTCGCAAGACCAAGACCAAGACTGGCTAAGTCTCGTCTTGTTCTTGCATTTGGGCAACACTAATGTCTTTATTGTCTTTGACTTGGCATTCTAGCCTGCTTCTGATACTACCACAGTGTTAAATTAGGTGCAAGTTGATTAGGATTTGTAAGTCCGTACACTTCTGGCACCAAGAAGTTTAATATTTTTTCCACAAAAAACAAAAATGCGTTTAGAAAATAAAAATATTTTTTTAAATATTTTCTCGTGCAGGGAAGGCAAAGGTATCTTAGCACTCACAGCCATTCTACCATCTATTCATTACAGTTTATCAAAGTCCACCGTTGAACATAGACCTCCGCCATAAATTGCCTGTCTATGTCTTACTTTGTCAAATATCTCGTCCTTCTCTGGGGATATTTGACATAGTAGCCAAGCTTGGCACAGCAGTTTTATTTTTTAAACTAATTATCAGAAAGATACTGGTGCCATCTGCTGTTTAGTTTCTTTCTGTTCCTCTTACCACATCTACGCGGTTATACAGTAACGAATTCGCCGCAATCATATTATCATCGCTTTCAAATCTCTAAAACTTAACTGTTCCCATTGCAGAACAACTGGAGATCTTAAAACAGCGTATTGAGAGCAAGAAAAAAGTAAACAAGGCTGATTTAGAACATGTAGAGGAATGTCCGCTTTTAGAATGGACCGAAAAGTTAACTTCAGTTGCGCTGCAGACATCAGAACCCTCAGTATCTCTTCCTCCATGCACTTGTCACGAGAGTATAAGTGAGAAGACAAATGGAAGAGTTTACAACAGTAGGCTATTCGATTTTTCTTAGAATTTCTTTCTAGAAGTGATAAGAGTTATCTACTATCTAAATTCTTCCGATTCATCGTTTCTGCTTCTTCACAACAAAGCAGCTATTGACAATCCCATTTGAAAGGTAGTATAATCGATATTCTCTTAGATACAAATTCATGAGCACTCATGTACTATGTGTAATATTCATGTACTATTTAGTCGACTTGTGATCATTTAATCTATGTTTTGTATGCCCCGAACGTTGTTTTCGTCAAACTAACACTAATTTTGTGTTTTTTTTTGGCTTTTTTATAGAATAAAGGGGACAAACGAGCACACAGTCCACGTTAAGTGGATGCTGTGGCCCATAGACATCTACATTTATACTCGATCAAGAGTCAAAACGCAAATGCGTTGTCACCCCTGAGGACTAAAATGGAATTCCTCGTTTCTAGTAAAAAGGGTCTCCGGATGTCTACACTCACCATACGAGACACAACAGTATTAAACCGCTATTTTACGCTAGTATTCTGTGAGAACGTGGTCCTTTCCCGGTCGAGCAGACCCATTCCTGCTACAACCATAATATAGCTACAGCGTGGCTCTACCACGTTGAAAATTTGATGTGACTAAGAAAACACTGTTATCATTTATGTGTTTCAACGTGATTTGAAGTTTATTTCAGATAAGTAATATTATTTCAGAGAGTAACTTTATTTCATATTTCCTTAAAAACTGTCGTAAATGAAATTACATCTGTGTGGCATTTTTACCGTGCCAGCTATTCATCCGTGCGATCCACAGCTGTAGCATAGTTTTTGTTCTAAATTACCGGTCTAGAAGTACACATAGAGATCCTTGGTAGTTTCACCGGGATCTGAAATTTACTGCAGATGTCCACGGGCTGCACCAGTAACTAACTATTAGGTTGAATGCGAGCACATCTTATCTTTTAAATTAAAAATAAAAATAGGGAAATTTATATCAGTAAACGATAAATCTATCTATCTATCTATCATCTATCATTAAAAATTGAAAGTGCATCCTTTCACATTGGTCTCGTAGAAATTACAATTATATACAAATATTGAACAAAACGTAATTTACGTTCTTTTCACGTAAATAAGCGTAAAATTTCATCCTTTTTTCAATTTCCGTCATTTTAGGTGCCACTGTTCACGGGAGGATTGAAGTGTTTGACGTCCGGATGTCATAGTTGACTCGGGATACTTTCAGCTTTTAAATCATATTTTTTTGATTTATGCTAAAAGAGCTTAGAGTATCTTGCAGTGAAATGCTTGGGTTTAGATTTAGTAGCATCTACACCAAAGATTCCCAAACTATTTTGGGCAAGAGACCCCTTTTCCAAAATGAACTGATACCTCAGGTGTCCATAGCCACTTTACACACAACTACTTTCAAAATATCTAGTCTAGTTTTATCAATAAGAAAAAAGACTCTTAAAGATCTCTAGTCTTTTTCCTATTGATAAAAAATACTTGTGTACGCTTATCGACTTATTGGAGTTTTTTAAAAGTACAACAATGATACTTCCTACTAAAATATTAGTCGTTCCTATAGCAAGTTGGTACACGTAACACAACTTATACAGTATCTTTAAGTTACAAAAAAAAACTTGTGTTAATTAATAGGGGTCCATTTTTAGACCTCATCGACCCCCAAAAAAATTAGGACGTAAATCTTAGCAAAAATAACAAAAGATGGAGATAGCCCGGGTTAACAATGTCAACAGGACGTCCAAACTCTCAATCCCCTAGCGACCATAGGTACTAGAAAGCACAAACATTGGGAATTAAACGTGATGAAATCCATAAAATAATTTTACTTAATGTGTAGTCATCACGGAGGTACATCTAGACAGACTGCTTTTTTATACAATTTTATTAGCTTCGCGTGTATCTATCTAAGTAACGAAATATTTTAATGTAATTTTTACCAACTTGAAGACGGCCGAATGACTTGAAAATTGCCTTGAATCTAGGACCAATAGCAATATAATAGTTTAATAAGTTTATCCTAGTGTTACGATCAGGATGACTAGGACAAAAAAATTTTAGGGAACAGCTCGATCATAAATGCGTGTTATTTAAGTTTTTTAAATTCATATTATTTTTTAAACTATCTATTTATTAAGTAATAAGTACTTAATAGTTGTTCGTTAAGTTTTCTTTTTCTATGTTAGTTGAGGACCTTATACCAATCAAGAAAGCGATAAACGAAATCGACAAGAAATTATTCTACAATAGCAGGATTGAGTTTAACAGGTTCAAAGTTGTCGGAGAATGTGACAGAAACAGCGTGTAAGATTATATCTATTATAATTTTTAATACCGTAAAACTTTTTTATCAACCAAATCCAAAGGATCTACTTGTTGGAAAGAATCTCAACATTTTCTTCCCATTTAAATTTCGCTGCTGAACTGTTCTCTGGCATTCAAAAGATAATTTACTATAATTGCCACTCGTGGTACTAACGTACTTGAGCTGCTTCGTCACCGGCCTATTTTATATCAAGCATGAGAACACTATTTTTTAAAGTAGCTTCTTAGGACGCCCTATATACTGAAATGGGATGGTCACCGCCACACGGTAAGTGAAATGTCAAAGAATGATCGGTCTCATTTACCATCGTACAGAAAAAAATGTCTGAAAACACGTGACTGGCCATAGATTCTTTCCAGCACAAGCAGATATTTTTACAAAAACACAAGTTTGTGATTTCCGGTTCCAGTTGTGTTCTTTCAAAAGCCTCTGACATCCTAGCCTATATACAATTTTATCGGATTAGTTTTAAATCATCGGGTTTAATTATTAGTAAGGGATACGCCCATTATTTTCAAATGTGGTATGTTTTGGGAGAGACCATCATTCGGCAGTGAATTTGTATTCGGTGAATAAGGTGATAACGATGATGATTTTTACATGTATCAGGTATAACGTGGGGTATTTCCTTCAGTACAACATTCTTCATTTACAACATTTACAGTTGTCCGATTAAGCTTACCACCTTCTTCATGTTTCAATTTATGCATTCAAAATCAATATCCTCAATTATAAAAATACAACTTTTAACTGTTTCGTGCTAATGGTAATATTTTTACAGACACGAACAACAAAAGAACGACAGAGCGCTCGAAATACAGCAAATTCTACAAGATCGTCCGAGTCTGTGTGATATCTTTCAAGGAAATACACATTGATGAAACCAATTACTGTAAAAATTTTGTAAATTTTTATTTTAATACATTTTTAACAAAATTAAAAACTAAAATTGACTATACACTAAACTCAAACACTGGTATAATTTAATCCTAAGCAAGCATGATGGAAATACAACTTTCATTGGACGTTGAAATTCAACTTTTTTATCACAAACTTTTTCTTTAAACGAACTAAACCTTATTTATAATAAATAAATCTATACCAAAATTAAAATAGGTATCTCAAAGGTTTTTTTAAACATGATTTACCAGACTAATTTAAATTATTAACTTCGGGTGCATTTTCTATACAATTATTAACAACATCTTGATTATTCATAGACTCCGCACTTATTATCTCATCTCCAACATCTCCTAAACTGTCTTCAAATTCTTCCAAATCTTGAAAATTCTTGCCTTTCATTTCAATAATTTCTATTTCTTTACAGTCGTCTATTTTTATTTTGTCAATTCGCCAATTTGGTTCATCAACGAATTCACCTTTATTCATATCAATTATAGGTTTTGAAACTGATTTGACCAATTCTAACCTGGGTATTTTTGATTCCTCAAGTCTAGGAATTTTAGAAACATCTAAAACTTTGGTTGATGCAATCTTAACGGGGAGTATGAGAACTTCGTCCTTCTCTTTTGGAGATGGTGGTAAAGAAGTATCAAAAGGTACTGATAAACTGTTTTGCAATGCTTCTACTTCTTTACGTCTTGTTTGTTTCCTCTCCAATTGCTTCTGTAATTCTTCTATTCTTTCATCTTTTAGTTTCAACAAACTATCAAGATGATCCACCTGTTTTAAAATAAAAATGGATTAAGTACTTGCAATGTAAACTTATTGTTACTTGCCACTAATCTTTCCCTAAAGTTATGTATTAGATTGTTCATATCAATTAAAAACGACAATATTTAAGCATTTTCCCGGAAAATAGATTTAATTTATAGATTTAAAATATTTATTTTATGTCAAAAAACTTGTGCATACAATTATTGATGGCCTAGATCCTAGACCGTTACAAATTCAAAAATGTCCTCTTTTCAAAACGGTCTTGAAACTCGCTCGCAAGCAACTGGCGAATATATCCTTAACCTTCAGCATTTTATATTTTCGCATTTTCAACATTTTACTGCATAGCCTAAAGTTTGCAGTGCAAGTGAGCACTAAAATGTGCCTACAAAAACTGTATAAACCAATCTAATCCACTCTTCCATTTGATAAGTATCCCAAATTTTAATTATTTACTTGACACCTGAGCTTGAAATACTCAGAGAAAAACCTCTTTACAGGCAGACAGATAGGAAGCCGGTATGATATTGTTAGTTTTATGATTAAACTACTAGGCTAATGTTAGATTTACGCATTTAAAAAAAATATCAAAAATAAATCATCTCAGCTGCGAAAATTATATATTTTTTTCTAAAGGCAATGGACAGGCAGTGGGGCAACTGCCGTTCTTTTAATTATTGTTAATACAATGAGAGGGACACAAACAGGAAATGCGCAAAAGCCCATTTCCCGTTTGTGTCCCTCTGCATGAACTTATATTTGGGTAACGGCTTTTACAATTCAGTTCAAATAACATTAGGAACGTCATTGACCTCGAATGTTCGAGATCTGCCAATTGTCACTTGAAAAGTACGGCTTTCAAAGAAAATTAATTTTCCACATTTATTTATCTGAGTCTTAGTTTTACTAAATCATTTGACGTCATTATTTTTAATAAAAATAATTTACACTAGCTTGCCAGGCAGACGTTGTTCTGCCTTTTTCGACGACTCTTTGTCATGTCCTATTAAAAATCCTTAAATTCGCAAAAAAAAAAATGTGGGTCACTCATGGGCAAAAAACTATTCTATCTCTTAAGTTGGATCAAACTGCACACAGTGTGCAAATTTGATTAAAATCGGTTAAGCAGTTTAGGAGACCATCACGGACAAACAACGTGACACGTAATTTATATACTATATTAAAATTTACAAAAATGTTCCACAGTTAGAAAGCCTTTATACATGTTACAACCATGCTGCAGCTATATTAGTAGTATACTTGTTGCACGAATGGGTCGGCTCGACTAGGATACCAGCGTCAAATAGCAGCTTAATGCTGCTGTGTTTCTTATGTCAAATGTAGAGAACCGGAGACCCCTTTTACTGGAAACGAGGCATTCCATCTTAGTCCTCACGGGTAACGACGCATCTGCATTTTGTTTGGGAATCAGTGGTAGATTTATGGGCCATAGCAACTACTTACATTCAGGTGGACTGTGTGCTCGTTTGTCACACTCATTCTATAAAAGAAATTAGTCTAACGCTGGAAGCGATTGCTTCAATTACCAGTGAGGATTGAAAAAAATAAATAAACCACGTCAAGACAGTGACAAATTTAGTTTTAGTATAAACACGGGTAATAAAATGTTTATTTTGCTTTTAAATAACAGTCGATGGAATATTTTAAATACACACACCAGCTGATTAGTGATCGTCAATACAGTTTTTGTCGGGGTCAATCAGCTGGTGATCTTCTGGTCTACCTGACTCATAGATGGACGGAGGCAGTAGAGTCTAAGGAGGAGGCATTGGCCGTTAGTTCGGATATTGTGAAATCCTTTGGTCAGGTTTGGCACAAAGCGCTTCTTTCTAAGCTCCCTTCCTGTGGGCTTCCCGAGAAATTGTGCAATTAGATCACCAGCTCTTTTGCAGATCAAGGTCGTTGTAGACGGTGCCCATTTTTTTGGGAGTACCGGGACAAATTTGTGTCTGAAGTCGAGTCTTTGCTGAACAAAGTTTCGGATTGGGGGCGACTAAAGTCTAGTCCAGTTTAATCCTCACGAGACACAAGTTTACGCGTTTACCGCTAAAAAGAACCCCTCTGTCGTATCTTCTCAGTTTAAAGACACTCCGTTTGTTGCTTCAGCCAGTATCGGAATCCTCGGTATCGACATATCGAGTGACGTGCAGTTTCGTGGTCACTTGAACGAGAAGGCCAAATTGGCCTCTAAAAAGCTTGGCGTGCTCAGCAGAGCGGGACAGTATTTCATGCCGGCACACCGCCTGCAACTTTACTAGGCGCAGGTTCGGCCCCACATGGAATACTGTTTCCATAGGTAGGCACTTAACATCAGGTGAGCCCTACGCTCGTTTGCCCCTTCTACTATAAAAACATACATAATACATGTTCTATGTTTATAGGGGAAAACAGCAGTGATAATGATGATGACGATGATGACTACTGAGACTGTGTGCCATGACACTAAATTAAAGTGCTAGATTCCGATTGAAACTTTTTTCGCGATTCTTTTGTATTTATGTTATTTCAAAAATATTTTTTTTGCTCGCCATACCTAACTGGTTGGAATTGACAGGTATGGCATCACAATATGGTGCCAAGTCAGTCCTATTTTTATTTGAAATTTGAATCGCATATTACATCGTCATTAAACGGCGGATTTTGTTTTAAATTCACGCTGTTCTTAGCGGTCAAGAGACATTGCTAATAAGTTTTCGGACAGTTTCTTAACACTCAAACGGACTGGGTGCCGTGGATAAGAGCCGTGGGAGATCCGATGGTTAGCGCTAGCTATAAATATCAAAGTACGCGAGCAAACCGGGTTCGATTCCCACCAGCTAATCAAATTGTTATTTACATTTTTAAGTGCTAATTTATCATTTACGGTGTGAAACCTGCATATCTGAGAAATAAGAAAAAAATATTTCGAAGACATGTAAAGTTCACCGACACGCAGTGTGGCAGCGCGGCGAACAAATACTTGCCCTAAAGTGTACTCTCAGAATTGAGCGAAGGCCTGTGACCAGGAGTGGGACGTATATAGACTGAAGAAAAATGTTAAATATGTCATACTCCTCACCTTTTGCTTGAGAACATCGACGACCTCCTTCGCATCCTTGAGCTCTTCCTTTAACGTCAGATAAGAATTATGGCTGACGACTTTCTGCTGTACAGTCTCAAAAACTCCATTTACTCTGGTCTTTAGTGGTACAACCAGTACATGCTCTATATCATAAAATTTTATATCAGGTAAGTTTATCGCCACGTGATGGCCTAAAAAAGTCACATAGGTGTCCTAAAAGGTGACTATGAGAAACATAGGTGTAGGTGGCCATAGAGATATTTTGGTCTTCGAGAGATGGTGGTATAATACGCATCTCGCTTACATCAGGCATAAAATTCCGAAACCTGGAAGAGGGTGCAGCGACAAATATGCAGTGATCATCATTACGCTTATCAAGCGTGACCACGCCATATTATCTACTAATTTTGTGCATAAGAGTTTAAATGAATAATTAATAAAATAAATAAATTTCTTAGATTAACGCAAGTACTAAGGTACGTGAGGGTAATATGATCACCTTAAGCTTTGCCGTCACATAAAACTAAAACAAGGTGGAGGGTAGAGACAAAAATACAAAGTCTTATACTATAACTAATATATTAAGCAAATAATAGCAAATAAGTTTTGTCAGTAATTAGGAACACTTTGAAAAATCAACTTAAAAAAATTGGCTCACTGAAGTTAGCCCCCCGAAAATGTTTATTTTTTTATTTTTCAAATTTCGTTAAATATCACATATCGTTATTTCGTGGTTTGTTCTTGATTGTGCTCTATCAATAGTTATTGTTTGTTCGTCAATAATTTATTTATAAAAAAATAATTAATAATCTGCCTTATAGTTAGCCCGAATAGAATTATAATTTCTTTCGTTATTATGGGTCTTTTATATTCATTAATATTTGTTCGTTGAAAAAATACGTTTGTTCTATCAAATATATCTATTTTTGGTTTAATTAACAATTTTTATTTAGCTACATAATTATACAGACGTACCTGTACTACGCATGCGTCAATATTAAGTTTGAAGCGGTTCCGTTTAAATAAAATTTAAAACAAATTATACCGATAAAAAAGAAAGTGTTAAAAAATTAACTACACTACACCTTAATAAAATCGACTAAAATATTAACTATATAATGTCAATTGTCAAAATGGCGTCGATAAAGCAACGCCTTTTTGACACATATTTATATTTTCTGATTGACTTATGAAGAGCTATCGTATCACAGAGCTATCTATACAAACAAGACTGTAGTATTCGAGTTATAAGAAAGTGACCATATTACCCTCACGTACCTAATTGAAAAATGAATTTAAGAATTAATTTCAACGCGATATAATACATTTAATAAATTAGTTTTATTCAAAAACATTAATTCGTTTCAGTTTCAGGGCTATCTTATTTTCGGTTTTGTGCATAACTTTTTATATTTTTAAAAACTATAACCAGGCACACAGTCCACCAGAGGGTAACTAGATATTGTATTCTTCCTCTACTAAGAATCAAAATTCTTAATAGAATGCCTCTTTACCATTAAAAGGATTTCCGGCTCTCATCACTTACCATTCGGAACACAGAAGCATTATGCTGCTATTTTATAATTGTATTCTGTACGAGTGTGGCTCCTCTCCAGTCGAGTCGAACCATTCGTGCTACAACCACAATACATTGCCATTGCCATGAATACCCTATAAATGTTAAGTCCTCGAGATTGAATTTTGGTCACGGCGGCCATTCTCAACGGAGACCAGCCAGCCATCTGCACAGCATTGCAGTGCCCAAGTGTATACGCAAGCATAGGTGCGCTCTCTATTCCCTCACTCTCATAGTTCGACAGTACGGCAATCCGACACGACCAGAGAATGATCAGACACAGCTTAACGTGCTTTCAAAGGTACGGAGGTGAAACACTGCCAACATGCTGACTCTAGGCTACTGAGAATTTTTTGACAGGAACCTCAATAACAGATTTTGCCCGACCCGGGATTCGAACCCGATACCACATGATAAGCAATCACACTTACTACTAAATCAACAAGGCAGTCAAACTCTCAAAGCCTCTCCAAGTAATCATCATCATCATCATTACAACCCTTCACAAGTCCAATACTGAACATAGACTTCCCCCAAGTAATGCCACAAAGCACGGTCCTGAGCCACCTGCATCCATCGACTTCCTGCATGTCTTACCATACTAGGTCGTCACTCCATCTAGTGGGGGTTGCCCTACACTACGCCTACCGGTACAAGGCTGCCACTCGAGAACATTTTTCCCCGTCAGTTATCGGTTCTTCGAGCTATATGGCCGGGCCATCGCCACTTCAGCTTACTAATCCGTTGGATTATGTCGGTCACTCTGGTTCGACAGCTGATATCCTAATTTCTGAGCTTATCACGCAGAGAAACCCCGAGCATAGTCCTCTCCATGGCTCGCTGAATGACCTTGAGCGTCCTCATACGACCAGCAGTGAAGGACCACGTCTCAGATCCATAAGTCATCACTGGCAACACGCACTGGTTGTACAATCTAGTTTTCAGAGTTTGAGGTATAGGTACCTGACGAGAAGATGTGTCGTAATTTCCCGAACGTATGTGTAGTAAACTAAGATACGACTATAGTATACTCTTCCAAGTAATGTATACTCGTAGAAGTAATTAATAAGCATCTGCATTTTGATTCGTAATCGAGGATAGACGTAGATGTCTATGGGCCACAGCAACCGCTTACCATCCTGTGGACTGTGTGCTCGTTTGTCACCCTATCCTGTAAAAAATAGAATATTTATAAATCAAAATACTGTACTACCATCATCCCCACATGCCTCATAGTAACTGCCTCCGCTAGATAAATTCTGCTCGTTTTCCTTCATACTCCTGTTTGCATCCTCGTCGCATCTTATCTTGTCACGCACTGTAGTGACAATAAGTACATATAAGTAAATTAGATTGATTGTTTTATTTTCGAATTTAGCTTTTGTGCATAGGGTCTGGATTTAGAAAAATAAAAAATATAATATTTGTAAAATTTGTAATATTATTTATCATAATCACTAACTATCCTTTACCGTGGTACACATACAGTTAAAAAAATGCTATTTTGTCACACCATGTATGTAAATCATTATGTAAGTTGTCGCTACGCGAACCGATTGAACATGGTCGAAGTTACGAATCGGCGGTACATGGAAAAACTTTTGTAAGTTTATTTGTACTGTCGGATGTTATTTAATAACTATATTTTGTAAAAATAAATAAATAAATAAATGTAAAGCACATGTCGCAAGTTGTGAGTCGTAGATCCAACTCCCGAAAAAGTATTTTGAATATTTTTTTAAAACCACCGACAAGATAAGTAGTAGGCTGTACCATACAATACTATACATGTACAAACCTCACTTAAAAGGTAGCCATAGCATTGTTATAAAAATAATAAATAACAGTAGGGCAAAACAGTACTAACATATTAGGTACATTAAAAACAACGATAAAATACGAACAACATTACATTATTTTATATTACAACTAGCAAGGCTTCGCACGGGTGATTTCTGGATTTCGACCATTCGACAACAGCACAACGTTTTTCACGAAATTGTGAATCTAAACCATTCTCGAAACAATAACACACGCACAAAATTTTATCAAAATGGATCCGGCCAATTAGGAGGAGCTCAGTAACATACAAACGGACAGAAGTTCAAATACGTACATTAAATCACAGAGGGACCCACTCAAATACACATAAAAATCATCAAAATCGTTCGAGCCATATATATATACTAGCTTGCAAGGCAGACGTTGTTTTGCCCTTTTCGCCGACCCTTTGTCATGTCTTATTAAAATCTATAAATTCGCAAAAAAAACTCTCATGTGCAAAAAACTATCCTATCTCTCAAGTTGGACCAAACTGCACACGGTGTGCAATTTTGAATAAAATCGGTTAAGTAGTTTAGGAGTTCATCGCGGACAAACAACGTGACACGTAATTTATATATATTAAGAGATATTATGTATTGAATTAAAGATAAAATTTATAAAGTATGCTATAGTTAAAACGAGCATCACTGGGATAATAAATGTCCTTTCTGACGTCGAGCAAAGGTTGGTCACCCAGGCAGAAAATTTGAAAACAAGTTTTTTAGCAATCAGTAAAGTACTTTTGAATTTATTATGAATAGCCTAAAAATTATTGTTGCCGGTCAATACGTTTGTCATGTTCACGTTTTCAAGTCAGTAAAAACTCTATGATACATCATATTATGTTTCCAATTTGAAGAATTTTTTGTAGAGAAAAATAATATAAACACCCAACAATCATGCCTCTATCGGGCAACAATCATGATCGGGCCTCTTAAACAAGGCTACTACTTATTTTTCTAACCCGTCTAAGTTTTAGGAATGTAAGTGTTCTTGATTAAAACTAACTTTACGGATTTTATCGCGTTTAATTTATATGATTTTTAATTCCCGATACTTCGGATGCTTTCCAGCACCCATGGTCACGGGGGATTGAGATGACTGACGTCCCGATGTCAGTGTTAACTCGGAGTACCTTCAGCTTTTTAATTATTGTATACGGTCCGATTTACGCAGAATGAACTTACTGTTTCTTGAAGTCTTGCAAGGGTATGCTTGGGTTTAGTTTTAATTTTATTAATTACAGGGTTCCAAGCTGGTGGGACTGCTGACTTCCCGGAATCACGCAGTCTGTGATCCTATCATAGGCGGCCCCAGCCGTTACATCACATTTGATAGACCACAAATCCTCGCGAAAGGACATCGATTCCTACCAAGGAACGTGACGGACGTGACACTAATGAAATTTAAAAAAAAAACATCTTAATTTCAACAGAGAAGGAGGCTGGGTACTACCACCAGCTTGGGACCATGTTTTTAATAAGATTAAAGCTAAATCCAAGCATACCACTGCATGACTTCAAGACTCACTAAGTTCATTCTGCGTAGATCGGCCCATAATTAACAAGTACCCGGTTGACCGAGCTTTGCTCGGTATTTTTCGCTCGGTTTTTTTTAATTCGTGTGTTTTGGAAATTATATTTAGATACAAATTACATACTGATGAAATACGAATAATATTTTTTGATCGTAGCGACATAATAGAAAAAAACTGAACTGGTTATTTGAATAAAAAATCATGAGTGCAATTAGTTTAATTTAAATTTTCGTGTTTTTAAAAATACTAAAAAAAAGGGCACGAAAAAATAGATTTTCTCAAAAAAAGAAAGGAACTCGAAAAAAAAGTCAGTCGGTCGGTCTGGGCTCGAACCATGGTATTACGATATGACCGCCCAATATACCAATTAAGCTATTTGTAATCATTAATAAAGTGTCAAAATTTACCTTCTTATTCTAATATATATAAATATATATATATATAGAGAGAGAGAGAGAGAGAGAGAGAGAATTGCTCGTTTAAAGGTATAGGATTAAAAAGCTAAAGGTTAACAAAAGCTAAGGGTTAACACTGACATCGATCGGTCGTGACGTCAGTCACCTCAGATAAATTAAGCGCAATAAAATCCGTAAAAGTAGTTTTAATCAATGTGCAGTGTTCGCGTAAATATAAGAAATCATTATTTAAGTGTTCTTTTATAAAACAAGTGACAAAGTAACACACAGTCCACACGATTGTGAGTGTCTACAGCAGTGACCGGATACCTGCATATAACTTCAAATGAAAAAAGCTACAAATGAAATGCTTTATTTTTACTAAAAATGGTCACCGGTACTCTAAACTCACTTTACGAAACACAGCAGCATAAAGCTGCTATTATTCGCTGGTATACTGTGACAGCGTGATCCTACCCCGGTAGAGCCGGCCCATTCTGGCTACAACCATAACATAGATGCGGCACGGCTCTACCACCTAGTGTTGCCGTGCGGTAGTGACGTAACAAAATCCATCTCCCCATTTCGTCTCATGGGTGTGGTAAAACTAAGCCTTGGCGCCTTCGATCAACAATACCAACATTGTTGATCGAAGCTTGGCGCCGTGATGATTTTACGGTCTCCGATAGATGGCGGTGTACTCAATAGCGATTACGGAAAATCCTCCCTACTTTAAGGCCTGTATCTGTGCCTAGCAGTTTGCAAAAAAGAGCTTTTTACCAAACCAGTGGTAAAAGTAATAACTTTCACTTATAATTATTAATGATCTATATTTACCGTTACAAGTCCACTGCTGAACATAGACCTCCCCCATAGATTGCCTCATAGTTGGTATGTATGCCATAGTTGCCACGCTTGGCAAGCGGTTTGGCAACCACAGTTTTTTTTAGTCGTTATTGGGAAGACGTCCCATTTAACGACACCCACGGAATAATAATTATTAATAATTTATTTTATTTTGATAAGCTGTACAAATTATTCCAATAAGTCTTAACTTAAAAATAGTCTACAATAACAGACATCTGAACTAGGATAAACCTGTGTCTCAGGTGTATGTGCTAAAAGATGAATAACGTACTAACTAATAAGGGTTATTTCGGTAAAATATTTAATGTATGACAAATTTTGTAACCATGTTCGAATTACATTTTTACAGTCTGCCATTTTTAATGGATATATGTACAAAATTGCATTGACTTGATTATACAAAAAAGGGCCGAGGAATGTAAAAAATCTATGCATGAAATAATGCCTTATTCTAATGTTAGTTTCAATTACTTTACTTTTGCGTCTTTTATCGAATGATACGGGGTAGAGGATATTCTTATTTCTTACACCTTTACTACACAAAAATATATCTTATTCTATTGTTTTCTAGTGGACTGTTTACGAGCTCTAATTGTTAGAATATTAACCTACAAGAATTAAAAAACAAAGAATTCTCACCCATTAGGAGTACCCTCTCAATAACGCCAGGAGTGTTGTTAGCGAGTTGCTCCATAGTGTTGCAGCACAAATTCAGCTTGAGCTTCTTGAGAACCTTCCTGTTGAGTGTCATCCAGTTGTTCAGTTTTAATGATTGGCTATTGCGTGGAGGGTAGTTGTGCATTTCCACCAGTTTTGGGTAATGCACGCTTAGGATTTCGGCAAGGAGCACTGAAATATTAAAGGAATAGGTATTTCGTGTGTAGTAAAAACATTGAAGTAATAATATGTACTACATACTAACTTGCTATTATTACTACTCATGTACTTTTTACCTGGCAGAGCCACGCTGCAGCTACATCAGTTGCAGCACGAATGGATCGGCTCGACCAGGGCAGGACCACGTTCTCACAGAATACCAGTGTAAGTTAGCAACAAACGTCTGTATTGTTTCTTATGGTGAGTATAGAAAACCTGAGCTCCTTTTTTAATGGAAACGAGGCATTCCATCTTAGTTCTCAGCGGTGACGCCGCATTTTGAGTCTTAATCGAGGGTAAATGTAGATGTCTACGGGTCACAGCTTCCACTTACCATCACATGGACTGTGTGCTCGTTTTCCACCCTTATTCTATATAAAAATACTAGAAAAGACGTCGAGATTTGTCTGCTGACGGGCTCAAACTAATGTATACTCTGTACACTCTGCGTCTCCGACTACGCGCCCCGCATTACCGATTATGTGCGCGATTATTTTCTAATACGTAGCACTTAATACTTTCATGATTGAAAGTGACTTTTTTTATTAACAATTAGAAAGTTCCCTTCGGGGCGTTTAACATACATAAATTCCACAAGGACACCAGACTCGGAAGAATATTCCTTTTATTTCTCGGAATACGGTGATATGATAGGGAACAGCAAAAACACTCAGACAATAATAATGTCCTCGAAAACTAGCCATCTTCGCAGGACAGGATTATAGCTCAAACCTGCTATAAATCAATATCACGCTACAGACTATAAACTATAAATTTCTAGCACGCTATTAAATACGCTATGTTATAGCGCGCTATTTATAACAAAGCTTGTGGGAGGCCGTCATGCGCGTAAAGTTTTGCATGCAGCACGCGGTCTATCCGATGAAACATGTGGTTCATTGGATAGACCGCGTGCTATATAAAAATATTATCTCGTAATAAGTCGCATTTTAGATTAAAATAAAATAAAACCGTAACGTAAAGTCAATGAACAATCTTTCATACTTTTTAGGCTTGCGACTGTCTATAAACGATGTAAACGTTATTTTAACCTTATTGTAAATTATAAATCAATTAAAGGCGTATTCGTAAGTTTATTAATTTATATTAAAAAGTCAACTATTTACGAACTATTATATACACTTTTATATCTATATTTTATTTACATTTCAAAACATGAGTTAGACTACTTTTGTAGCAGACAACCATGTCATTCGATATACTTATAAATATATAGTATACACTAACTAACCAACGTCTAACACTAAATAAGGTCACGCGCGATGAATAGCCTGCTACTAGACCAAATTTGCGTCACATTTCCACTCTGCTGGTAGAACGAGTTGCCGCTAGATATTAATAGCGTCAAAGCGCCATAGCGCTGTGGCGACTACACGTAGCACGCGCTATGGAACGATAGCTCGCTATGCGCCATATTAACCACAATTAGATTATAGTGCCCTTGTATATGCAAGTACGGGTGCACTCTCTATTCCCTCACTCTCACAGTCCGATGAAATGCCAAGCAGTCAGGCGTAAAACTAACGGTTTTTGTTTTATGTGCTTTCCGAGGTACGAGGGTGAAACACCGCCAACTTCCGGGCTGCTACTAAATGTTTCTTGAAAAAAAAAAGCCAACAACTAATTTTGACCCTACGCGGGACTCGAACCCTCATGACCGGCAATCGCATTTTTACGACCACTAGACCAATGCAACAGTCACTAAAACAATACTAGTGTATTAGAGGGAAGGCCCCAAAAAGGGATTTAGATCCTTAAATATTGAGTCTTTTTTTCTACTTAATCTTGCAATATTAAAATTCAGGAAATAGTTAGAGAGGAAACTACAGAAGACGACAAGGGAGGACTAACTGCACTTTTAATTACAAAATAAAAAAAAGCAAAGGCTATCAAACAATGTACGGTTTTTAGATACAACTTAGCTAATAACGTATTTGAGAGGATTTATAACATTGATATTATTAATTCGACATTTAATTTTTATTTGTATTTAATAATGTACTAAATGCGCGGCGGCACACAATTAGAACATTGTAATTATTGACTCCATTAACGCGTGACCTAATTCACTATTAATAGAACATTTTTACTTAATTTGATTATAAAATAACTAAAATCAAAAGTTATCGTGTTTAACCCTCCACGCGGACTTGATAAATCTACACCATAAGCCACTAAAACCACTTTTTTAATGTAAAAATAGCAATTAATCGATTTAAAAAACAATAAGTTTACCAATTATTTATCTTTCTGACAAAGTGCTTTTTATATCACTTATAAAGAAAGAAAAACAATCTTTATTTTTGACACATGCAGAACACAGAAACAATATTAAAACAAAAAAAAACAATTTCAAGAACGAACACGCGGCGAATTAAAATTAGGACAAAATATTTAAATTTATTTTTTATAGTATTAGTGTTATATAGATTTTTATGCGCAAGCAGAACATAATATAGTCTACGCGCTTTGCGCCTTAGGCTTTAGGCATGGAATAGATTAGATTTTGAACAAATCTACGTCATCAAATAGTAACTCCCAATTAAAACTGCTGTCTATCGAAAATTCCTAAGTCCAATAACTATAATAAAGCCACCGCTCCAGCTTCATACGGGTGTTTTTAGATATCGACAACACATGCCTGTATTATTCATATAAACCTTCCTTTGCTGTAGCGAGCTAGCGAGCGGTAACCCGACCGTGCGGCTGTTTTAAATCGAAGCTCTATATATTTTTTTCGTAATTAAAAGAAAAGTTACATATTAACAGCTAAATTATAAATATACGTGAAGCTAAGATCAAGTACCGTTAGAAAGTAATTAAAATTTTATAATAAACAATTAAGTGACGTGATATTATCAAAAATAACATAAAATTTAATCGTTGTGAATAGTGTCTGTGAAGGTAATTAGCATTTCACGAAGACTAGGGTAAGTGACGCGTGGTGTATTTAGTGAGGGCGCGGTCTGCAAACGAGATAGGCTTCAAATCCCTCGAATTAACATTTTTTTATCTATTGTAAAATTGACCAATATTTTTGTTTTCTTTTTTATATAAATTTTATAAATAAGAAAAGTAACAAACATTAAACAAGAACATTAAAAATGGACGGAAAACAGAATAATGACATGAAAACTAGCCGATATCAATCTGTTATATGTGATAAATGCAAATGTAACAAAGAGGCAAGAGATACGATATTATGCTCGCAACGCAAAAAAAGATTCGACTTTCATTGTATTGGCTTGTCAGAAAAGCTATATCGATTAATGCAAGCAGAAAAAAAAGCTGCGTGGAAATGCAAAATCTGCTTAAAAGCCAAAAAGAATTGAAATCTACACGTTCACACATGGAATATAAAAACATCACATTAAGAAAAAAGACTGTCTCAGCAGCTAAACAAACTGCGTCACCTAAATCGGAATCAGTCGTAGATATATCATCTCCTCTGCTTGATTCATGCGGGATCGACACGGAAGAAGAATACGACGAACTAGAGGAATCCTCCTTGGAAATGCTATCAAAGAGTGAAGACTACTCAACTATTAAAATATACGAACTGCAGGAAATGAAGGAAGAAATTAAAGAATTAAAAATTAATCTCTCGAGTACACAAAATGAGCTAGAGAATACGATAATAGAAAACAATGAATACAAAAGAGAAATAAATAAGTTGAAAAAGGGAATTGAATTTCTAAAGAACATCAGTCAATCTCCAATAAGTAAAAGCACAAATGAGATAAATAAGGGATTTCACGTCTCACTTACCCCTTCAAACACTTCTAAATATAGCCACACATCACACTATTCTCCAATTTCTTCAAAGAAATGTGATAAAAAATGTAACAACTTGATAATTTCCTTACAGAACAAGATAAAAGAATCGCAAGAACAATTGTTGAATGCCAAAAAAGAGATCACCGAGCTAGAGAATCAAATACGAGAACTTAGCATCAAGCTCACTACTCAAAGGGATAAAGGACAGCTCGCGACAAAACTGAATACAATAAAAAAATAATGCATTCACCAAACAAAATATCTTCATTATGGGGACGCAACAGTGCATTGGTCTCGCGGCAGAACTCACTAAGTCAAGAATGAATAGAAGATACGAGGACTACCAAGTAACAGCGTTCATCAAGCCATTTGCATCTAGGGAAGAAGTCCTAAAGCTATGTACCAATTTAAAGATAGACACACACGATAAGGTAATTTTATGTGTAGGAGAAAACGATGATGATCCGGTAACAGCCATAGCAGAATTATATGCTGCATTGAAATTACTAGAGCATGCCACCGTTATTGTAATAAATGTAACTAATAGTAAACATTTAAATAATAATTCATTAAACACGCAATTAAAATTAATATGTAAAAAGTTTAAAAATAGTCACTTTGTTGAAACTAAAAATTATTATCATTGTTATGTAAAGAAGGCCTGTCATAGTATTATCATGTTTATTGATTCATTGTATTACGAAAAAACATTTCTAAACTATTCTTTTATCTAGAACCATGTTCAGAGGAGCGGATGTAACGGAAAAGTGTTAAAGAAATCACAACAAAAACTGACAAATTGTGGATATAGACACAAGCAGACTTCCATATTAGACTTTTTCATTCCCTTACGGCAAAATTATCTTTTTCGTTCCACACAGTAACCTAAAAACATCCTGCAATGAAACTGTTAAAGACCTAAACAAAAAACGTGTTATTATTTTGCACCAAAATATTGCGGGTTTGCTCTCAAAGAAGGACCTTTTAGAAGTGACGCTCTCTGAACTGAAAGATTGTGATTCAGAACCTGATGTATTATGCTTCTCAGAATCATTTATAAAAAAAAGAGAGGAGAAAAATGCTACTCTCTCAAATTACAAACAAGCAGCAAGCTATTCTAGGAATAATAAACGGGGTGGTACCTGCATCTTTCTGCAGAAGGGCTTTACTTGCAACGACCTCAAAATTTTTGACAAGTACTTATTACCAGAAGTATTTGAGTGCTGCGGAATAAGAATCCCTAAATACAATAATTGCTCAATCATTTTTAACGAGGCAGGAAGCGGTGACCCATGAACTGTTAAAGACATTTACACATTATAAAATTATCATCACTGGAGATTTTAATATAAATACATTAGTGGAATCTAGAGCATCGCAACAATTAAAAGATATGGCTAAATACTTTAATTTAAAAATTCACATAAATGAACCTACTAGAGGAAATAACTGGTATAGACCACATTTTAAGTAATATTAAACAAGCTAAGGGCGTGACAATGCCGCTTCATCTATCTGATCATAATACTGCCCAAATATTGTCATTCTCAATAGAAAATATTCATAGTCTACAATACTGGTTTTTACACAAGAGAGACTATTGCAATGAAAATCTTCTAAAGTTTCGTGGCTACTTACAGTCATTATCTCTCTCAGATGTTTACAACGCGAAAAACATGATGCAGCATTCGATCGATTCCATGATCTTTTTTGCACACTTTATAAATCTTGCTTTCCGAAATTAAAAATTAAAATTACCAATAAAAATTCAAAGCCAAAATGGATCTCCAAGGGCTTAAAAGTTTGCATAAAAACTAAAAGATCATTGCGTTTCAAGTATTATAAACAAAAAACTAACGAGGACAGAGAAGCTTACTTGAGGTATTCAAAAATGCTTAAGCATATCAATAGCCCAAAAAAATTACAATATCAAATATCTCCAGAACAGTCAGAATATTTGTAAAGCTTCATGGAAATTCATCAAAGAAGTAACGGAAAGTGAACTCCCACAAAATTACATAACACATATGAAATACGAAAATAATATGATAACAAATGGGACAAAAATAGCAGAACTATTTAATGATTACTACGTAAACCTAACTGATGGAAAGTATATGTATGATATGGATAAAAAGCGAAAGATACTATCAACGATCAATTATATATCAAAGTCAATTTTTCTTGAGCCGGTGAATTCAACAGAAACTACTCGTATTATACAATCACTAAACAATTCTAGCTCATGTGGGTATGATGAAATCTCAACAAAAGTGTTAAAATTCTGTAAAAACGAACTAGCCCAGGTATTAACATATCTAATTAATTTATCCTTTGAAACAGGATGCTTTCCTGAGGCTCTTAAATTCTCGATCGTGAAACCTATCCACAAAAACAGAATAAATCTGAAATCGATAACTATCGCCCAGTTACATTAATACCGGTGTTATCAAAGGTATTTGAAAAGGCCATACAAAAAAGACTGCTCAATTATTTAACGAAATTCAAAATCATTACACCGGAGCAAAATGGGTTCCAAAAGGGAAAATCAACTATCCTCGCGTGCTTTAATCTAATACATAACGTTATTCTTGGACTCGATGATAAACAGCGTACTACTGTACTTTTCTTCGATATGTCTAAGGCATTCGATTTTATAGTTCACAATGTCTTGTTAGATAAGCTGGAAAAGTATGGGATTAGAGGTCTTTCTCACTCTTGGCTTAAATCATATCTAGAAAATAGACATCAGTGCCTAGAAAGAAATAGAATAAGCGAGAGAAATACAACTAAATCCGATCGTTCTAATTATAAAAGTTTGGAGTACCACAGGGGAGCGTTCTGGGTCCTATATTGTTTTTATTATATATAAATGACTTACCAAGAGTGACTAAACATCAATGCATAATGTTTACAGATGATAAATCAAATTGTAATGACAATCTAAATAATTATGAAAATGACATTAATAACGCAATTAATAATATAGTTCAATATCTTAAATTAATTAATCTAAAAGTAAATCTGAATAAGATAAATTTCATAAATTTTAACATAAAAGGACGAGCAGGAAATAATCTTAATGTGCTGCACAAAAACAAACCTATTGAAAGGACTACCATGGTCTCATTTTTGGGTGTAGTACTTAACGAGAACTTAAATTTCACTGGCCACATTGATAAAGTTTGTAATCAAATTAATAGGTTTGCTTTCGTCTTAAGGCGTTTAACTAAGATAACGTCTCTTAGCGTAACTATGTCTGCTTATTATGGTTACGTCGCGTCCAATATTAATTATGGTCTGGTTCTGTGGGGCAACAGCGTTGAAGTAAATAGAGTTCTCATGTATACGTGCTATATGCGGTAAAGGTCCATTTGATACATGCAAGCCCCTATTTATTAAGCTGGGTATATTAACAGTCCCTGGCATGTACCTATTAGAAATATATAAATATATCCACGAAACACTAGAGATAGTAAACGGCTTGTCTTAGACCATAAACCAAAAACTTCTATCTATCAGAAAGGTTGTTACTGTATGTGTGTAAAAATATTTAATAAAATTCCAAAGCAGTTCAAACACGGCTCTATGATTCTCATGACCAAAAAGTTACGTGAATGGTTAATAAGAAAATGTTATTATAGTGTTAAGGATTTTCAAAATGATAATAATATGCATATACATATGACATATGATAGACGAATTGCTGTGTATTACTGCGTATCACTATTTTATCAGACCTTTATTTTTGATTGAACGTATTTAAATTTTAATTATGATACTGATATAGTAAATTATGATATTTTGAATAATATAACTTACATTTAATAACTTTACATATTAGAATCGACTACCACCTATATTATTTGGTAATTTAAAAAAAAGTTTGCATGCCATAAATAGGTCTTTAAGCAACTTATTTTTATTGTAAAAACCTATCACTTACCCTATTTATGGCAATTAAATAAATTTGAATTTGAATTTGAATCATTCTGTCTATTGACGAAAATCGCATCGAAATCCATTGCGTAGTTTAAAAGATCTCAACGTACAGACGGCGGGAAGCGACTTTGTTTTATACTACCTAGAGATAGTGCTCATTTTTACTTAGGCAGTTATACAGAGAATGTATAATATACACTATGGGTTATTCCAGTGTTATATAAGACCATTATCGCAAGACAATTAGGTTATTCGCTCAGTCTGCTTATATTTTAGTTAAAAAAAAGTAAAGATACAGCCTATATACGTCCCACTGCTGGGCACAGGCCTCCCCTCAATTCTGAGAGGGTTTAAGGGCCAAGGAAGTGTCCGCCGCGCTGCCCCAATGCGTGTTGACGAACTTCACATGTCTTCGAAATATTTTTTTTTATTACTCAGACAAGCAGGTTTCCTCACGATGTTTTCCTTCACCGCCGAGCACGTGGTAAATCAGCACTTAAAATTGCCATTAACAATTTCATTGGTGCTGGCGGAAATCGAACCCAGGTTCTGTTATATTTACAACGAGCGTTAACCATCTGAGCTACCGCGGCTGTTACATTTTAGTACAAGCTTCATTATAAGTTCTTGCCCCCATACAATAGGCACATGCTATGGGCATTTATATAGCCAACACTATGAAACCTACACAGAGTTCATAGTGTTGGCTTTATAGTCTTTGACAGTGATACACAACACACCAGCATGATATATCCCTACAGGGCCGTACACAAAACCGGTGGCAACACCGAGGTTAATGCGTGCATCAGCGTATATCGTCTTACTCAACGAATACCGCCAATTTGTATTTGATTGGACCCCCCACTGCACAGCGAAACTAATAATTAAAAATAAAATATTTCTAAACAGTACGCAGCATTTACCGGCATCAGAGAAATCTCTATTGATCTTCTTCGTTGGTCGCGATAGCTTGTATGTGTCAACCCAAGCCAGTACTGATTCTATCTCCGACATCGGAATAGGTGAGGAGAAACTAGGCATGTTTACGTTGTAATATTTACTATAAATGTCGATTTTCAAAATGTTTATTTTTATACGATTGTGAACATTTGACAAATGAATTTAACATGTACCCAATATTACGTCATAAGTGAAAGTTTTTTTTTTACTTTTAACAGTTGTCTTTTCAGTGGCCAGTGCTTTAAAATGAATTCATCTAGTAAATTAATAGTATTCCCCATATTGTAATGGCTCAAGATAATCCATCAATTCGTCGCCTACGCCGCAAAGGGAGAACGT